TCCTTGAATTTGTTATTTACAAAGAAATTCGCGATCTTTGATTTTATTGAAAATCCGGGTAAATTGGAGCTATATTGACACGGTAAATACATAGTTCAAAAATGACAGAATCTATATGAAATGCTAAAATGCTATATGAAATCTATGTTTTTACCTCCATATTGATGATATTATAGATCCAGTGGTTATACCTAGTACCAAGATCACACTGGAGAAAGTTATAACTTCTTCTTTCTTCAAAGTGGCTTGTACTGAAGAACCTGATGTAGTTATTAAATTATATGATGGTTTGAAAAGATTTATGAAATTATTAATCAATAACCAAGTTTTATCTCTAATGGAATCCCTTATTGGTGGGGATGGTAAAGTACCCACAGTAGGAGGTTCAATAGGATCTTCAATAATTTCAGCTCGACCACTTTCATTTAAAACTGGATATAATTCACTATTTTTTAAACTTTCAACTTTTTTATTCATTAAATCTAATTTTTTATTTTGTAAATAAGCATTCTCCTCCAAGACTTGTTGAACTTTTTCTTCAAAATTTCCAACTAATCTTCTTCTTTTCCATGGTTCCAATGCTAATTGGAATACTAAGAATAATAAGATATTTATACCCATAAGTCCAAATGTTCCCCATGTAGAAGTTCTTCTAATTTTATCTGACCAAATTTGTTCCTCATGATAACGAGTTAATATAGCTTTACTTAACCTATTTTGAACATCTTCTTCTCTAGCATCTGCAGCTTCCATTTCTTCTTTTGCTTTCCTTTCCCATGTAGCATTTTCATGATCATCTTTATATAACTTGGTGAAATTATCAAGATCTTGAGGGGACCAAGTATGTTGTCTTTGTAATAATTCATTAACTTCTTTTTGAGTTTGTAATCTTTTGGAAATAGCAGCACTATAAGCATCTTTGGTAACTTTTGATAATTCTTTTGTATTATGTAAATCTTTTTCTAAAATTTCAATTGATTCTCTTAATTTTTGAATTGATGAATAACCTGTAACATCATTTAATGCTCTTGTTGCTGTAAAGATAGTTTCTTGCAAGGAATCAATATACAATTCTAGCTTTTTGGCCCATTTTTTTCTTTTTCGTTCTCTTTCACTTGGTAATCCTTGAATAGTTTTATCTTTTATCTCTGAAGAATTCCCATTTGTAAGATCTTGTTTAAAACTATAACTTTCACTTTCCTTTTCTTGTAAGGCTAATTTTTCATTAACTTCATTAATAGCGGTTTTAGCCTTGTTATAATGGAATTTGACAGGTGTAATTATATTATTTATTTGTTTATGAGTTTTATCATATTGTTGATGTATAGTGTTTAAATGAGGTCGTATTTTTTCCAAAAAATTATCCACTTTGGTTTTAGTTCGAGGGAAACTTTCAGGTGCAGGTTGTTCTGGTTCAATTTTCTTTTGTGATTTGGAGTTCAATGGATCTTTTGAATCATCTATGGATCTGGGTATTATAGTGTGTGATAAATTTCTATAGATCTGAAGATGGACACAAGTTATGGGTTTCAAAGGGAACTGCCTTCTCACAAGACAATTGATATTCATTATAGCCAGCCTCTCGTGTCACCAGATTCACAGCCCAAATCACTGAAATTGATTTTTCAAAAGATCAAAATCGGTGTGTCTGTTTTCTCTAAAATGCGTTTCCTTTGAATCCAGTGTGCACCAAATTTTGGTGAAGATATTCGCGAATGATATTTCAATGATATTCTTCATATTCACATAAATCCATTATTTTAAAAGACAAATACTGATACTACAAACTGGTTCAAGATGGTTGGGTTCTCTATGAAGAAAAAAGATGACACCAAGAAGGGATTCTCAGGCTTCAAACTAAATAAATCCAATAACAAATCAGATTCTAAGAAACCTTCAAAACCTGCATTTGGTTTTATAAATGATAAAGATGAAGAAATTCAAACAACCAAGATAGATACTTTTGATTCAAATGATGGTGGGTTCAACAAAGAAGAAGGTCCTAAAAGAGCAAATGAACCACTGATAATACCTAATGAAGGCAATTCTCAATGGAAAACTAAAGCAAAACAAAGATTTAATCCTAATGAACAAAATAAACAAGTTTTTGAACCTGAAAATAAAAAACTTGAATATGGTATAAATTATATAAATGATATACCCAAGGATAGTCAAGAAGAAGTGGAGACTAAAGCACTAAGACAAGATATTGAAACAAGAGCTGAGGAGGCAACTTTAGAAGATTATGAAAAAATTCCAGTTGATGATTTTGGTGCTGCAATGTTACGAGGTATGGGATGGAAAGGTGAGGAAGATAAAGAATCAAAAGACGAAGAGAAGAAAGGGAAACCTGTTATACCAGTTGCACAAAGAACGTTATATTTGGGACTAGGTGCAAAAGATGATGGTAAAGGAAAAGATCCAAAACCTATTGATAAATCTTATATACCTGTCAAAATGATTAAAAAATCTTCCAATAGGGATAAGAGTCCTATAAGGACAAAAGAAATTGAATATAGATCAAGAGAATAATATATGTATTTATGGCTAGGAGTTCATATTAATTGTGTAATGTTATAAACTTCAATACCCAAATTGAAAGTTCTTTTATCATTAAAATCAAAGTGATCTAAATCTAGATGATATTTATAATCCCATATTTTTTGGATATTAAAAGTTTTGTTCAATCTTTCTATATATCCAATGGATGATGATGATGTAATTAATAAAGTTTCATTGAATTGGGCTAAAACATGTGTTAATTTGGAAACATCTTCACCCATCAAATCAATTAAATGATCTTCAGTGGTATTATGAATATTTTCAATTTCTGATATTGTTAAATTTGGATTTTGTAAAATATATGAAGGTGGTTTATAAGTTTTCCACCAAATTTGTACACCATGGAATTCAGTTTCTCTTAAATGATCCAAAGTAACAAGAACACCTCTTTGATGTAATGATCCCATAATTAATCCAAACACTAAATTGAAAACAACCCATATTTTCATCGCTAATTCCACACGACTCGGTCTCATCATTGTTTTGAAATCAATACACATACAAACTAGGGGAACTAATGGGATTAAAAATCTTAGTTCTTGATGTGGGATGATTGATAATAGGGATAAACCTGAAACAATTGATAAAAAGGGTGTTGATTTCATAAATCTATTCTTGAAAAACAAAGGGATGATTAATGGACCTATTAATTGTGGTAAATTAATTAACAAATGGGTATAGTATGGATGTAACCCATGTTGAGCTAAATTCTCTGGATCTTTATTATATATGAAATTATTCCATGGTGTTATGACCCATTCAGTGGATTCTGAAATTTTGGTATCATAATATATCAAAGTGAATGAGGTTATTGTGAAAAAGACTAGGAATGAAATGGCTGAACTTTTAAATTTCCAAAAATGTTTTAATAAGAAAATTGAAGGTCCAATTAAGAAAAAAATGAATGTAATTCTATTGAATATACCAATACTTGTAATGATCGCCAATAATGACACGGTGACATTTGATTTTGATGGATTTTTCAGCTTGGATTGTAATCTTAATATTTGAATAATTGATAATGAGATTAATAATAATTGAGTTTCTAAACTATTTGAAAAAGTATGAGATTGATAAACCCAAGTAATATACGATGAGAAGATGAAAAAAATTGATTTTGTACCTTCTTGTTTTGATGATGTCAAGAATCTTGAACTCCATTCTGCAATACAAATATATGATAAAATCAATTGTAATCTTGCAATGTATAATAATGCTAATGAATTGAAACCAATGAATTTATTTAGCCAAAATAATGGTCCATAAACTAAATAAAGTATGGATAAACTTCTACTTGGAGCACCTTGGAATTCCCAAGGGATGTTTGTACTATATCCATAGAAGTGGTCTGAAAGATCAATTAGTATTAAGATCATCACAATACCTTTTGATTCCATTTACTTACTTGTTAAGACTTCAAAACTTTGGAAATGTTCATCTGGATGGATATAACTCGGTTCAAGCGCAAAAAAAAACAAGATCACATAACAGAAGTAGTGATACTTCCTCCAGTCAACCATTATAAACTAATACTTCGAGCAAACAAGTAACAATCAACCCAAAACTATTCAATTGTTGATATTAATTTGTCCAAAATGTCCATATAAAAATCAAAAAGTAGTGGCCAAAACGACATTTTTTAGATTTTTTTTTCGTTTTTGCTGTTCAGCACAAAAAAAAAGTTTTGCTGGGAAAATAAAAGTAAACAAATGAAAATAACAAGGAATTGATCAAATTAAGGACATTTTTGGTAAAAAGGGATTGATCTCATTTGATTTTATTTGTTTTTATTGGCTTTGGACTATCAATTGACTTTTTTGCTGGTTATTTGCTTATATTATTACCCCTTTTCCTGCTTTCGATTGGTTCAAATTGATCTATACTAGGTTTTATTTACTATGGAGGCTCAAGTTATATCCAATGCGTTGGCTCAAACACTTGATGCAAACCCTCAAGTGAGAAAACAAGCTGAACAACAACTATTAGAATTTGAAAAACAGCCAGGATTCACAGTGTATTGCTTAGATTTAGCTGTTGATTCATCTGTCCCAAATACAATCAAAAGTTCTGCTTCTGTTTTCTTCAAGAATAGAATTTTAAATCATTGGTCTGATAATAGTGATAAAGCTATAAAATTAGATGAACAAGAAACTTTGAAAACAAGATTGATTGAATCACTTGTCAAGACATATGACGATAGTCATATTAGACCTCAATTAACCCTTGCCGTAAGAAATATCTTGTTACGTGGTGCTTGGGTATTAAATGATGCAATTTTACAATTATTAAATTCCAAAAATGATATATCACATGTTTATACTGGATTAGTATTATTATTTGAAGCTACAAGATCTCAAAGATGGGCTTATACTGATAGAACTATTATTGAAACTTATATTGAACAAACATTCCCTATTTTGGAAGAATTAGCATCGGGGATTGTTAATAATTCAGATTATCGTTCAGGTGAAATGTTGTATTTAATTTTGAAAATTTTCAGATACACCACCTTGAATGTTCTTCCAAAATATTTTTTCCAAGTGGAAAAATTATCAAATTGGATTTCATTACATCTTACGGTGATTCAAAGAGATTTACCTAAAGAGATCTTGGATTTAGAACCTGCTGATAGATCATTAGATAAGAGAGTAAAAGCATATAAATGGGGGTTTGGGAATTTACATAGATTTTTCACAAGATTTGGTATACCAACAAGTAAAGTTACATCACCTGAGTTTATTGAATTTTTCAATCAAAATATTGTCCCAGAAATTTTAAAAATTTATTTTACAATTATTGAAAAATGGAGTGGTGGATTATGGTTAAGTGACAGTTCCCTTTTCCATTTAATCTCATTCTTGGAAAAATGTGTTTTGACATCCTCATGGAATCTAATTGAACCACATTTTGATATCATTTTACAACATTTAATCTTCCCTTCATTATGCCAAGATGATTTAGAATTATTTGAAGATGATCAAGAAGAATATATAAGAAGATATTTCGATGTTTATAGAGAATCAAACACTGCGGATGTTGCATCTGTTGATTTCCTTTTCGTTGTTTCTCATCATCGTTTAGAAAAATTAAGTTCAATTTTATCCTTTTTACAAACCAAATTTCAGAATTATGAATCAAATCAAACACAAGACCAAGCTTTACAAATTGAAGGTTGTTTAAGAATCCTAAGTTCTATTTCATTAAATTTTAATAATGAAAATTCTCCAGTTAAAGATCAAATTGAACAAATCATTGCCACTTTTATATTACCACATTTATCAAGTAAATTTGAATTTTTAAGAGCAAGAGCAAATGAAACCATATCAATAGTAACAACATCATATAAAGACCATTCCATCCTATCACAAGTTTTTGCTAAAGTTTATGATAGTTTCAAAAGTGAAGAAACATTAGCAGTTCAAGTTGAAGCCGCAGCAGCATTAAAAGTACTTATTGTGGAACCACCAGTTGTGGAGCAAATCTCATCAGATGTTCCAACAATCATGCAAAAATTAATTCATTTATCACGTTCATTTGAATTAGATATGATTGGTGAAGTTATGGAATCCTTTGTTGAAGAATTTTCTACTCAATTAGAACCATTTGCCTTAGATTTAGGTAAAACTTTATGTGATCAATTTATTCAAGCTGCAACAGATTTCTTGGAATTACAAGCAAATCATTTGAATGGTTCAGGTGGCTCAGATGGTGAAACTGAAAAAGAATATCAAGCTATTGGTTATATTAATACAATGACTACAATGACTATATCAATGGCAAAAGTTAATTTAGAAGATGTATTTGCACCAGCAATTAAATTTGTTTTGCATAATGCTGCTATTGCATTTTTGGGTGAAGCTTTAGAATTAGCAGAATCTTTATCAATGGCTAGAAAACAATTATCTAATACAATGTGGGAATTATATCAAGAAGCTGTTGAATCTTTTCAAACATTTGCAAGTGAATTCACAGAAGTTTATATCCCATTTTTTGAAAATATAGTTGTTTATGGATTCAAGGGGTTAAATTTCCAATCTCCACAAGTTTTACCATTGAAAAATGTTATTAAAGAAATTATAAATTCACCTGTTGATTTTGATAATCAAGGTGCATTTGAAATTGTGGAATATATGATTTTAACATTAAAACAAGTTGATGATTTGTTTCCATTAACATTAAAAGTTTTCAAAGAGCAAGATTTACCACCATTAGGTTTCATCAAAATTTTATTAGCTGCAATTTTTATTGATCCAATAAATACATTAAAATTATTAGAACAAGAAGGTGAAACTGTTAGATTATTTGAAATTTGGTATAATTTATCAAGTGTTTTGAATAATGTTTATGGATTAAAATTACAAAGTTTAGCATTATTATCATTATTATCTGTCCCAGAATTACCAAGTTCAATTTTAGGATTCGTACCACAATTTGGAACAAAATTAATTGCATCTGTGGAAAAATTACCAGATGCATTGAATAAGAGACAAGCGTTATTGAAAGGAACTTCAGAGGATATAACAGCTGCTAGTCCAGAAGATGAAGATTATGATGATGACGATGATGCTTTTAAAGATACTCCATTAGATGAAATAAATTTCTTTGTTGAATTTAAATATAAATTTAATGAATTACAAAATAATTTACCTGATAGATATCAATCAATTATTGGATCATTAACACCAGAAAGAATTAATTCTATAAATGAATTGATGAAATTAACAAATTGATATACCCTAATTAGCTTATATGTGTGAATATTATACTTTTCTTTACGAATTAATAAATTGTAGGTATATTGGAAATGAATATAACTTTTTTTGTGTACATATAAATTATACTAAGAATACAACTTTAACTCCCAAGTCAGAACTAAAAACACACACCAAAAATGAATGTATAACACATTCATGGACTAATATACAATTGAACATTAAGGAAACAAAAGAAACCATCACCACCAAACATGAATGCAAAAAAAACATAAATGCAACAAGACACATCAAGTCATTAATCACTCTTCAGATTTAACTTCATCTTTTGGGCCTTGATTTTGTAATCTTGAACGAGATTGTCTAAATAATTCCTCTTGTTGTTTTAATAACTCTTCTTCAGTGAAACCAGAATTTTGGAATTTATTATTCTTTCTTTCTCTACCTTTCAGGGATTCCTTATGTTCTAATAATGCAGCTTCAATAGGCTCAATATAATCTATAAATCCTAATTCTTGTAATGCTTTAACAACATGATCAGATGCTATAGTTTTCTTAGCTTCTTTTTCAGCAATTTCATTAGATTGATCAGATAAAATCATTATGAATTCAATACAACATTCCACAACAACATCTCTTGCTTCCTTTGAGAATGTTAAATCTGATGGTATAACTTCACCTATAATTTTTTGTACTGTAGCTATATATCAAGATAAATGTTAGTATGAACACTCAAGACATAAACAAATGGAACATTGACATACCTTTTGGAAGCGTGAGATCCTCGCTATTGTTCCCACTGAATTCTGACATTTCCTAGTATTCTCAGTAACCAACAATCAAATAAAACCTAATAAACCTTTGAACTAATGAACGATGTTTCCTTTCAATTATCACCAAAATTCAATTGTTTATACGCTTTTAAATTTAATTTGCGGGTAAAAAAACAAAAAAAAAATAAACAGAATTCGCGAAGATCTTAAATTTCGCGAACTTTTACTGTTCCGCGCACATCTTCACCATAAAAAAAAATTTTGTTTAAAGCTCATCTCATAATTTAGTATGGGAAAATTAAGTAAACAAGTACTGGATATCCCAAGGAAGAAGGTTTGAGAAAAGGTATCCGAGTGGTATATTATAGAGAAGAAGACAAGATGGGTTCCGTGTTAGCTGCTTCAGAGTTCGATCCAAATGGGAACTACTACGTTTCTGCTGTTACTGCATTAGATACTCACAAGATTAGAGTTCAATCAACAAATTCAAGTTCCACTTTAGCCAATGCATTTTCATTAGACAAAGGTCATAAATTAACTAGTGTTTCTTGGGGGAACTATGCCACTGCTGGTTCATCAGCTGGTGCTAAACGTAAAAAAAGAAGACAATCAAATTCTTTTAGTATAGAGAATCAATTTTTAGCTGTGGGTTTAAATAAAGGTTCTATTTTGATATATTCTCCTTTAACTAATGAAGTGATATCGAAATTAGAAAATCCAAATGCTTCAGCTATTAACGATTTCCATTATTCTTCAATCACACAATCAGGTTGGTCTGTTGATTTAGGTCAAGATATTGTGGAATGGGATTTAATTACATATAAACCAAAAAGACATTTCCAATTCCAAGATCAAATTAATCTTATTAGAGTTATAGAATACCAAGGTAAACCACATTTATTATTAGCTTCACATACTATTCAATTATTAGATTTAGAAACCAAGGAAATTATTAAGACATACCCTGGTCATATTTCACCAATTCATACTTTATTAACCAATAATTCAGATTTTTTCATCACTGCAGCTGAAGGTGATAGATATATCAATATTTATCCATTAGATGGTACACCAACCGTGTTAGTTACACAAAGTAGTATAATTTCAGTATCATATGGTAATAATACTGTGAGTGCAGTAACTGAAGATGGTATAGTGGAAGTTTTCAATAATCCATTAACACAAGATCAACCTGTGAAAAACAAGAGAAGAGGTCAACAATCAAAACAATCAAATGGTAAAATTGAATTGAAAAGATCTACAACAGATCAACAATTAAAAATTGAACATTGTTATATAAATGAAAATTCCATAATTATAACATGGTTAGAAGATGCAAATATTCCATATTTTGAAACTATCCCATTACAAGATATAAATGAATTGAAAACAATCAAAAAGGATAAACCAGCTATACAGGCCAAGGATCATACTTTATTTGGTCAAGATATTGCTACTGCAAAGCAATATAATGAAGCTAATGCCATTGTTACCACTGGTGATAATTTAAGATTTTTAAACAATAAAGAAACTCAAGATCAAGATCTTCCAGAAGATGATCAAGAAGAAGATGGTCCAACATTAGCTGAAAAATTGGAATCTTTAAAAGTTCAACAACCAATTAAAAAGAAACAAGGTAGAGCTACTGCAGGTTCATTAACTGTTGTTTTAACTCAAGCATTAAAAGCAAATGATCATGCTCTATTAGAAACTGTTTTAGCAAATAAAGATGAAACTGTTTTGAAAAATACTGTTCAAAGATTAGATACAACCCTGGCTGTTATTTTATTAGAAAGATTAGCTGAACGTATTGCAAGACAAACACATCGTCAAGGTCAATTAAATATTTGGGTTAAATGGGTTATGGCAATTCATGGAGGTTATTTAATTAATATTCCAAATTTAACAAAATCTTTAAGTTCATTACATTCAACTTTAATTAAAAGATCTTCAACATTACCAAGATTATTAGAATTACAAGGTAGATTAGATGTTTTATATTCACAACAAGAATTAAAACAATTAACTCAAGATCAAATTGATGATGAATTCCATGATGATGATGATGAATCAGATGTTGAATATGTTGAAGAATTAGAAGATGCTGGATTAATTGATGATGGTGAACAAGATTTTTATGAACAAGATGAAGATGGATTCATGAGTATTGATGAATCATCAGATGATGAAGATGAAGATGAAGATGAACCAAAAGCTGATAAATTAAGTGATGGTGAATTAGATGATGAAGAAGGTTTTAGTGATGTTGAAGTTAATGGAGTTCAAATTGAGAGTGAAAGTGAAAGTGAAGATGAACAAAGTCAATTAAAGGCAAGAATTGCTAAATTAAGAGCTAAACAACAAAAACGTAAATAAACTACATAATTTTACCAACATCTAATGCATTTTATATATATATTAAACGTTACATGTAGTGATTAAACCCCATCAATCAAAATTGTTGGTTCAATTGTAGTAAAATTTTCATAAAATGATTTAAATAATTTAATTTGTTTTTCAATATCAACTGTACTTGAAGTTTCTCTAATACTATGCATACTTAAAACACCATTACCTAAATCTAAAGTTCTAATACCAGTTTTAGATGCCAAAATAGGACCAATTGTAGAACCACAAGGTGATGCATTTGGTACAACAAATAATTGTAATGGAACTTGACCTCTTGTTGCAACTTCTTTTAAAAGAGCAATACCTGGACTATTTGTAACATAACGTTGATTTGCATTAATTTTGATAACTGGACCTTCACCTAATTTTGGTTTATGATTTGATTCATATTTATTTGTATAATTTGGATGAACACCATGTGCAACATCTGAAGAAAGGAAAAATGATTTTGCAGAAGATTCCAAAATATATGATTTAATTGAAGATTCTAAATCTTTTTCTGGTACACCTGTTAATCCTGTAATTCTATCCAAGATATTTGGTAAGAAATTTGAATCTGCACCTTGAGCTGAAGATGACCCAATTTCTTCATGATCAAATAATGAAACTAAACGAATACCATTTTCTTCTTTTAATGAGTTTGAGCTGCTTGAAGATTCAACAAGACCTTCTACCGCGGTGAAACATGAAGTTAAATTATCTAATCTTGCACTGAAAATAAGTTCATCATTTAATCCACCTAATGTTGATGGTTTATGATCATAAAGAATTAATTCAAAATCTTCCAAGTTTTCAACAGTGGAACCTGCTTCCTTGGCAATCAATTCAACTAATTGTTCATTATGTCTTTGAACCACAGTTTGTAAAGATGTGAAATTTTCATTTGAAATTGGTGTACTTTCACAACATCCACCTTTACTATGTTCTTTAGCTAAATTAGTATCATTTGCCTTTGGTGCAGCATTTGATAATCCAGCAATTGGTAATAATTGAGATTCTTTATTAAATTCAAATTTGTTATTAACATCACGATCTAAATGAATAGCTAAAGTTGGAATCTTCAATAAAGGTTTTTTAATATCAATTAACTTTGGTATAATTTTACCATCTTGTTTAATTAATACTCTACCAGCAATACTTAAATCAGAATCAAACCAACTATGCCAAATACCACCACCATATAATTCAACACCAATTTGAATAAAACCTTCATTGTTTTTTTTAGAAATTGGTTTTATACGTAAAACTGGGGAATCTGTATGAGCACCTACAATGGAAATACCATTACCTGGAACCCATTTTTCACCAACAGTGAATGCAATTATAGATGAAGCATTTCTAGTAACAAAATATTTCCCACCTTTTTCAACTTGACCTGCCCAACTTATTCTTTCAGATAATTCTTGGAATCCATTTTTGGATAATTTATGTTTAACGTTATCCACAGTATGATATGGAGTAGGAGAAGCATTTAAAAATGATATGAAATCTGACAAATTGTTAGCATTACTTCAACAATCAGTTCTTCCCACACTCACCATTCGCATATTTCAAAGTAGAATTGGTAGACATGTTTCTTATAAAGACTCTAACCATTCCCACTTTCGCCACTATCTAAAATCTCAATTCTTTTGTTATCAGCTCATTTTCTTTTCCACAGTATATGAAAAAGACAAAAACAAGTCCGAAATCTTAAAAATTCGCGAAAGATTTTGAAAATTCGCGAAGCCGGTGGTCCGCGCCACAAGCGGCACGTGAATACCTCGGCCCATCCGACGGCTTTATTGACACTTTTAATTCACATAGTTAAAATTGGCAGACTTGTTATTTTTTTTTTTTTTCTTCTTCTGCTTTCTGCCATGAGTAGGGAAAAAAAAATTTATTTTGGCACTTTTTTTTAGTACCCTTTATATATTCTAATTCTTGGGAAAAGATAAAAAGTTTTGTGGTTAAGGTGTATATAAAAGGCAGTTTATTTGTTCTTATTTGTTTACTTTCAAATTGCATACAGTTTTTTCCCCCATATACAAAATATCAAAATCATCATATACAATAATTAATTAATACTCATCAATATGTCTGAAGAAGAAAAAGTTTATATTAGTTATAATCATGTTCATCAATTGATTCAAGAATCAACACCAAGATTGAAAAAATTCAATCCAGATTTAATCTTGTCAGTCGCTGGTGGTGGGTTAATTCCAGCAAGACAAGTTCGTACTTTCTTAAAAGAACCAGGTTCACCAAATGTTCGTGTTATGGCTGTTGTTTTATCCCTTTATGAAGATTTAGGTTCTTCATCAACTGATGCTGAAAAAATTGGTAAACAAGTTGTTCGTACTCAATGGTTAGATTATCAAAATACTGATTTCACTTTATTAGGTAAAAATATCTTAATTGTTGATGAAGTTGATGATACAAGAACTACTTTAAATTATGCTGTTAATGAATTGAAAAAAGATGTTGAAGAACAAGCTAAAGCAAAAGGTATTTCTGTTGAAGAAGCTAATACAAATTTTGGTATTTTCGTTTTACATAATAAATTAAAACCAAAGAAGGCTGATTTACCAGCTGAGGTTTATAATGAAACTAATTATATTGCTGCTAGAGAAATTGAAGATGTTTGGATTGCTTATCCATGGGAATCAAATGATATCGTTACCCATACTAGAAAAGCCATTGAACAAGGTAATGATGTTTTCTTACCATAAACTATTATGGGCTAATATTTTGTACACTAGTATACATCTTTACTACTTTTTTTTAGAAATATTTATGAATATTTATGAATATTATGTATTAGTATAGAATGATTAAATGAATAATTAATGCAAATAATTTATATATATATATATATGATGTTGTAATGAGGCCTAAACTTTTCTTAATTTTGATAAGACAAACATTTTACCAAAAATTTTCTTAAATGGAACTTTTATATGTAATTCACCATTATCCATATGACTATTTTGTTCTTCTGCAATTTCATCTCTTGCAATTAAATAACCTCTCATAATCCAAAGACTCATCGCAGCGGCAAAATAACAAACACCACACCAAATTGCTGGATGTTGATATTGAATTGGTGAATATTCTTGTCCTGCTCCAGGTGATGATCTTAATTGAATACCAATTAATGGTGATACAGTACCGAAAATACCAATAATAACCCATAGGGAACCTAATGTTGTAGCTAATTTCCTTAATCCAACAATTCTTGAAACTATGGTCCCCAAAACTGCCCAAATTGTACCCATTAAACTACCAACAATAATGGCAAATGCTATAGCACTTGCATAATTACGAAGTGGAATCCACATACCAAAACAAAAAATGGCAACTAATAAATGAGCCCACATAGCCACAGAAACTGCACCAAATTTATCAGATAATTGACCTATTGTAGGTCTTCCAAAGAAAACACCAACAGAAATCATACAAGAAACAATTGAACCTTGTGAACCAGAATAACCTAAAGATCTTGTAAAATCTGCTAAATTATATAATATAACAACATATCCTAATAATGTAGTTGCAATCCAAAAACTCATTATCCAAAATCCAAATTTTGTAATAACTTCTATATCATAAAATTGGAATGTTGGTTTAACATGTTCATTTCTTGTACGAGTTAAAGCACATCCAATACCAGTGACAACTGCACATATAATAGCCTGGGTGATTAAAGCCCATTTAACACTTTTAATTTCAATTATATGTTGCATTGCTAAATTAAACATAACACCACCAGCACCTGATCCAGAAGCTGAAAGTGCCTGAGCCAATGATCTTTTCTTTCTAAACCATTGAGGTAATAAAATATTTGCAGGAATACAAACAAATGCTAATCCATAACTAATTAATAAACCTTGGGTTAAATATAATTGCCATAATTTAGTACTAAAAGCTGCCAACATAATACCAGAAAATTGGAAACACCCACCAACAATAATACAAGTTCTTGGACCTGTTATACCAATGAAATAAATTATAGCAGGGGCACAAAATAATCCAACACCAAATGCTATACCACCAATAGCTGCATAATCAATTTTAGTAGCACCTTCAAATTTATTTTCCTTAAGATAATGGGCTAAATATATGGCAAATGCTGAATTTGATGCCCATGTTGCAACATTAAAACAAAAAACTGCAATAACGATAAACCAACCATATCCACCATCAGGGACTTCAATTATATTTGTTTGGACTGGTGATTGTTTTTCTGGATCTGGATCTTGAGGTTGAGATGGTGAATTATTTGACATATTTGATGAATCTAATTCATGATCATTATTATCAAAACTCGTTTTAATTTCAGGGTCTATTGCACTAGACATATTGAAAGTTTATTCACTATATTGTATTGTTTACCACCAATGATTATGAGATCAAGATCACAATCGATCAAAACAATAGACAGTATTGACTTTATTTATACTTTCTTCACTTTCAATTTAAACACCTTCACCAAGCAATTAATTTCCATTTAGATTATTTAAATCCATCACACATTATACCCTATAAATTATTTATTACTCAACCGTCTTTTTTTTTGTCATACTTTAATTGAAATAATCGGAAAATGGAGATTAGATCCCAAAATGGGGAAAGTTCCGAGTCTTCAGTCCTGGTCTGAGTGGCCTAGTCTATTATTTTTGTGGTCTTAGCGGTCTTGGTCTTCCCATAGCGGGTCTAGTATCAACAAATGGGTTTTATTTCCGCTTGAAAGTTTAAAGTGTGGTATTTGATGGATTTAAAAGCTGATTTCAAAAGTATCCAATATACGCAATGGATGTATATTACAATTGGTATTATTTCTGGTGATTTATATACTGTTTTTTGGATTTTAATAGTGGTCTCAACTTTCAAATCTGTGTTTAATACCCGTTATCAAATTCGTAAAACACCCGCGAATTTTGATTGTGTCTCTTGTTTACATTTACATGCTTTGATATGAGGAATTATAGATTTTGTACTATTAAGAAGAGACTCAATAGAAGATTGATGAAATCATGGGTGAAAATATAGGTGATGCTGGATCCGAACCTATACGTCCTTTCAAAAATGGTGGTGAAATAGAGGACTATCTTGAAGATATACGCCATAAGAAAGAGGAAGAACTGTTCTTAAAGAAGTATACAAAGAGTAATATATTTGATACAAGTTTATTGATAGCTGCTATGAATATCATCAAAAGAGCACCATCATCCAATCATGTGAGAGAGATTTTGAGTGGATTGCCAGAGAATCTTAATAAGAAGTTGAGTTATCAAGTTCAAGATCCTTATTTCTCAAAGGGTATTAATGAAAAAGATCATTCAAATAATAATGGTTCGAGTTTAGCAGATGATGAAGATATTTATGCTAATGGTAATGATTTAATAACTTCTAAAGATAATGAAATAATTGACAAATTTACCAAACAATCACAATATTGGACCCTAACACCATTACCTGAAATCCATGATACAATCTGGGGAAATCAAGACATAGATAATCACATATACATTGGCTATACATATTATAAAGGTTTCATTGCTCAATACATACTACAAAGATTCCCCGGTGAAGATATTGAGTTGCTAAGTCATCATTTATCAAATAGGCTGATTTTCAAACAATGGGGGTTGAATTATCAAATGCCATTGATTAAACCATATACAAAAGATCAAATCTTTTTAGCATATTTAGGAGGATTGGTTAGTGAAGTATCGTTTTACATTGATTCGAATGAGCAGAGAATCCAAGATTGGCTTTGTATTTTATTAGAACCTTTAGTATCCCAATTTGAATCATATAATGAAACAATTGATGATGATTATCATTTCGGTATAATTCAAGATTGTTTAGTACGAGGTTTGGAATTTGAAATTTTGTTTGAAACTGTGGATGAGCATGAGACTCCAAAATACTTGGTCAGGGTTAAAGTTGATGAACATGTGATATTGGGAAGTACAAGGAGTGCAGAATCTTCATTAAAAGCACAGTCTAAAGCAGGTTCAAGTGTTTTAAATAATCCAAAATTGAAACAATTGGCTCTTGATTTGAAATTGAAATCAAAAGTGGACTCAAGTGGAAGCCAGAAAGAGACTAGTGTCAAGGAGGGAAGTCCAGATGATATGGATATTGATGATACTAAAAGTCCAGGAGTTCCACAAATAAGAGCCCATGAGAATACAATTGGGGACCATCAAAATCAGAACGTAAACAATGATCATAACACTAAGATTCCACACTTTCAATCAAATCAACGCACATATACACACACTGAAACTCTTAATCAACAACTGAAAACTACATCAAACAAAATACTTCAACAACAACCTAACGAACAACCGAACCAGCCAAATGCCGACCAACTTGATTATCAACCAGTAGAAGTTGGAGAATTAGAAAGATTAAAGAAAGAAGAACAGGAGCAAGTGTATCAATTTATACCTAATGATGAAAAAATCGATAACACTGCAAAGTCTGTATTAAATGAACACCTAAAGCAATTGAAGATCGATAAAGCAACTTATAAACATGCAGTATTAAGATCAAACACTGATAAAAATTATCCTATTAAAGTTATTGTTACATGTTATATTGAAGGTATACCAATTGCAAGAACTACTGGTCCAAATTCCAAAATCACTGGTCAAATTGTTGCTAAATTTATTTTGGATTATGAAGATTATTTCTTGGATAGGTTAAAAGTTGGGAAAGCGGCATAAATTAATGTCTCTATATAAGGGGAAAGTAAAATTTGAATTACTGATAAGTAATTGATGAATACGTCGTATTAATCTAATATATACTTCCCTGGTCATCAGCGCACAAAATAGGTTTTTTAATCACTGGTAATTTGATTGGTTCATTTTCCTCAGAGTAAGGTTCATATGCATCATATTCAGCATCTGCTTCAAAACCATCCAGGATCACTTGTCTATTTTCTTTTTCTTTCAAAGCTTCAAAATCTTTACAAGCTTGACAGTTTTCTTGTGAATCAACTTTGTTATAATCAACTTTAATCAATGGGTTTTCACATGAATGTGTATTTGTAAAGCTTTCCATATTTCCAAAATATTGCGCTCTGAGCGATTTGATTCCCCCAATACCATGCACTGCTTTGCCATATATATACTCATTGATCTTTAGATGGTGGTAAATATAATCATGGAATGCTTTTTGAGTCTTTGGATCTAAACGGTCAAATTTGTACATCTTAAAGTTTTCAAATGTCTTTTTGTGAGCTTTCTGTTTCTCTTCTTTCAACTTTAAAGACTTTTTATACCTCTTCCACCAAGATACACCCTTCCCTTCTATATAAGATTCCTGATGATAATTTTCATTAGTAAATTTGGTATTATGAAGGTGACATTTCTTTTTGAATTCATGAGCTTTGAATAATTCTTTTTCATGCATTGGAGACAGCTTATCATCCTTCTTAACAGTACCGACATAATTTCTTATCATACCTTCTATAGTCAATTCAGAACCTTCATGATGAGTAATTGATTCAATTTCCATTCTTTGATCTCTGTAAGATGGTTTTCCGTTAACTAAATGATGTGACGCATAAAACTTCAAATCAAATTGTAGAGCTTTTGATTTATCCCCATCATTAAACACAATAAGACAAGCTTTATAAAAATGCTCTTCGGTATCAGATTCAAAATCATCATATATTTCTAGACATTTACCAGAACCGGCTCTCCAGGCATCTGTATCACATGAGTACTTCATTATATCTTCAGTGTCCAGAATTATATGAATATCCTCTCTACTGTAAATACTTTTTTTGAACAACTCGAAATATCTCTTGTTTTCTTTAAGATTTGTCTTAGAGCTGAACAATTCAAGATACCAATAATCTTCTTTTTTTCTTACTCTATTATAATCACCAGAGGGTTCATCACCAAACTCTAACCCAGGATCATAGCTCCCTATAGTAGAAAATTGATAATTCAAGACATTCTTAGCTTTCGTTAAAGCATCTTGTTGATATCTTAATGATGAAGAATGGAACTTTTTGTCAAAACATTTTAATCCTAATAAAGCCGGTTGATGGTAAAAAAATAATGACGATGATAACAATGAAAGTTCATGACATATATTGTACCGGATTGGTTTGAACATGGTTGACTGCTACAATACAGGACCTTGAAGTACTAACTGATAAAGATCTTGATTTCTGAAGCAAGAACCATGGTTTTTCAGTAAATTTTAGTTCATTTGGAAATTATATTATAATGACATATCACAAAATCTGATCCCGTCAGATATTTTAGTATGATATATTCTGGTGGAAATCATTAAGTCTATATAAGGTTAATAAACTTTCATGATTCAGTTATTTTTAGATACTAAATGACCAAACCTAGACAGATAGGTGTATCTGATGTAACAGTCTTACCAAATAAGGGTGTTGTGGATTAGGTCTTATAGCTGAATCGTATCATATTTAGTATATGTTAAGATTTTGAATTCATATAAGATCCCGATAGTATTTTAATAAACCATTGCTAATATCACTGGTTCTTCGACCTAGTATTGATCAAATTTTCGTAGCTATAAGAATACTAACAAATATCTTTTCACATCTCTGGATAATTATGAGTATGATAAAGAACAGAGAATAAATTCATATATTTTATAGTCTCATATAACCTTGATTTCTATGTATGCGATTATCTTGTATAATCTGTGAATTAGATCATATCATTTCATGGCCTTTCCACTATATAGTCAATATCTATGGGTATATATATATCCCTTTTTTCATTTTCTTTTAAAGTTTCAAAGTCTTTACAGGCTTGACAATCTTCTGATAATCCATCAATTTCTTCATCATCAAATTCAGCGTACTCATAATCAAAATCGTCAATATAGTTGTTGAACGATTTCTCACATGTATGATTATTTGTGAACTTTTCAAGCTTTTTAAAATATTGGATTCTTCTGAGTAAAGCATCATCAAAAGTCTTTTCAAATATTGGCTCTTTGATTTTTAAGTGATTTGATACGTAATCATGGAATGCTTTCTGAGTATTCTTATCTAAACGATCAAATTTTTGCATCCTATAACTTTGAAATGTCTTATTGTGAGCTTTTCTTTTTTCTTCCCTTAATTTTAAGGGTTTTTCATATTTTTTCCACCAAGCTACATCCCTTCCATGTTTATACGGTATGGTGTAACAGTTGCCATGTTTACCAGAATTTTTATTTTTAATAAAGCATTCTTTTTTGAACTTATGCTCTTCAAATAATTCTTTTTCATAAATTGGGGAGATCTTATCATCCTTTTTGATGGTACCAACATAATTTTCCATGTGTGATTCTATGTCTAGAAAATATTTTTCATGGTGAGATATAGAATCAATTTCCATCCTTTGATATCTTACCCTTGGTTTTTCGTTCCATAAATAATGTGATGCATAAAACTTCAAGTCAAATGTTAAAGCCCCATTTGGACCGTCAGCATCATTAAAAACAATCAGACAAGCTCTATAATAATCTTCTTCTGATTTATCTTCCATTTGTAGACCTTTACCATTATAATTCGCTGACAACTCATGACTATCACATGCATATTTTATAATATCTTCAATGTCAAAAACTAAATGAATCTCTTCTCTAGTATCAGTATATTTTACCAGTTCGGAATACCTTTTATTGCTATACCTGTATTTATTACAAGTGAAAGTTTTATTATAGTAATAATCTTCATTTGGATAAACTCTATAATTTCCATTATAATGCTCCATTTCTAAAGCAGGAATGAAATTACCAGCAGTGTAAAACTGATAATTCAATGCATTTTTAGCTTTTGCTAAAGCATCATCAGCCTTTTGATATCTTAATGATGAAGAATGGAACTTCTTGTTCAAAAAGTTGGATGCTAACAAAGAACCCGATTGATACTGAAACAATGATGATAGTGATAAAAACTTATGGAATCTGCTAAGTCTGATTGGTTTCAACATGGTGAGCTGGAGCAAGAAATACAAAACCTTTGAGAGCTGTTCATCTGAAGGATTAATTCTGTATTAAGAATTTAGCAAAAACATGGGTTTCCAGGATATTTAAATCATTCAATTCATCGAAATATGATATGTCAATAATGTAACATGTCGCAAAATCTGATTTTCTCATGCCGCCAATTTGTTTTGGCATGAGATTAAATACTAGGCGAATATCATTGGAATTAAATGAACCTAGATGGACCAACGGTCACCAGCTCATCAAAACTGATACATGTCTAACAGTTTACTTTGATAAACAAGCTGTTCTTCAACAACAATTAAGGCTGATATTATTTTCGCGTATAATCATATAATGATTACATAATTGATATACTATAATATTAATACATTTCATCTGATTGAGCTGGTAGTGCTTATCTTCCTTCTCTAGTGATAGGTTTAATGGGTACATCAGCTGATCATAAAGCTATATAATAAATTTTTGTTATATTTCCTATGAGCATCATGTAATGCTCATGCTTTTAAATAGTATAGACTACACAGTATACACAGTGCCATATAACCTTAAAATTGTTTTAGATAATTAGTCAATTTTAGTCAGTATATGATTTCTTTAAAGCCTTTTACCTGAATACTAATATCCAAATCAATCTTCTTCCTCGTACCAAGCCAATATCTCTTCTCTATTCTCTTTCTTTTTCAAAACTTTGAAATCTTTACATGCCTGACAATCTTCTGGTGCATCCATCAACTTTGTTATTATTGAGTTTGATCAATGATTTCTCACATGAATGGGTATTTGTAAAGTTTTGAAGTCTTTCAAAATATAGCGATCTTGTAAAAGTAGCATCCTCCACTACTTTTTCAAATAAATATTCATTAATCTTCAAATGGCGGTATATATACTCATGAAATGCTTTTTGTGTCTTTGGGTCTAAACGGTCAAACTTTTGCATCTTATAGCATTGAAACGTCTTGTTATGTGCCTTTTTTCGTTCTTCTTTCAATTTCAACGGTTTTGCATACTTTCTCCACCAAGATACATCCTTTCCTTCTCCATAAGATAGAAGAACATAGCCTTCGTTAGCAGGATTTGTATTATGAAGAAAGCATTCTTTCTTATATTCATGAACCTTGAATAATTCTTTTTCATGCATTGGAGACAGCTTGTCATCCTTCTTGATAGTACCAACATATTTTTTTATCATTCCTTCTATAGTCAATGTAGATCCTTCATAATGAGATATTGAATCAATTTCCATTCTTTGATATCTCATATATGGTTTTTCATTAATCAAATAATGTGATGCATAAAACTTCAAATCAAATTTTAAAGCTTTTGATTTCTCACCATCACTAAAGCTAATCAGACAAGCTTTATAAAAATGTTCTTCAGTTTCATCTTCAAGTTCGTCTTCCATTTTTGAACCTTTACCATTATACTTGGCACTCCACGCATGTGTATCACATGAGTATTTCATTATATCTTCAGTGTCCAGAATTAGATGTATTTCCTCTTCAGTGTCAATATTCTTTCTAAATAATTCAGTATACCTTCTGTTGTTATAAAGCTTCGTGGAATTGAACATTTTAAGATACAAATAGTCTTCTTTGATTTCAACTCTTTCAGTTTCATAAAGGGGATAATCCTTCAGTTCTAACGGAGAAACCCCAGCAGTATAACATTGATAATTCAAAGCATTCTTAGCTTTTACTAAAGCATCAGCCTTTTGGTATCTCATTGATAAAGAATGGAACTTCTTGTCAAAATACTTAGATGCTAACAACGGACCTGTTTGACGATAAATAAATGACGATGACAAAAACTTATGACCTCTATTGAACCTAATTGGCATGAGCATGGTGGATTATAACGAGCAGAAAGTAAATCACCAGCAGCGCCTGCCTAATAAAACTATTGATGCTCTGAATCCAAAAAAAACATGGGTTTTAACTTCTCAGCATGTTTAATATTATGAATTTTAATATAAATTTTTCATAATTTATGGAAATGTGATATATCAAAATAATGTAACATGCGCAAAATTTGACTTTATGCCGCAGAACTAGACCATTTGGTATGATAAAACTAGAGCCCTAAGTCCCTCAATGAATAAATCATCACCAACTACCCAGCCAATTACTGACATGTAATGATCTGATTAAAAAAATTTCGAACTGCTTCACTGATGACGATATTATATAATTCGAGATATAATTTGAGCCTGGAGGTGATAATATTTTCGCGGCGTATAATTAAATTAGTTAGTTTCAGCATAAATGTTCATGGTTGATTTTAGAGATATTAAAAACAACCAGAGAATTGGACGCTGTAAATTCATTAACTATGTTCGGAACGAAATTGATTATAAATAAGCCAGTTTAAGCTATTCTTTGCTTTCAAAAATCCATATTAACCGCATAAATCATCAAACTCAAACTGCTGTCAATGGATATAGCACAAATGGATATAATACCAATGAGCCACACAATGAACTATTATATCAACCAAATCATAATCAACAAATATACAATAAAATTCCCAATCAACAACAGCAAAATAAATCAAGTGAAACCCTCAATCAACAACCTGTCGGCCAACCAAACCAACCCGATACTGGCCAACTTGATTATCAACCAGTAGAAGTTGGAGAATTAGAAAGATTAAAGAAAGAAGAACAGGATCAAGTGCATGAATTTATACCTAATGATGAAAAAATCGATAACACTGCAAAGTCTATATTAAATGAACACCTAGTGCAATTGAAGATTGATAAAGCAACTTATAAACATGCAGTATTAAGATCAAATACTGATAAAGGTGCACCTACTAAAGTTATTGTTACATGTTATATTGAAGATATACCAATTGCAAGAACTACTGGTCCAAATTCCAAAATTACTGGTCAAATTGTTGCCAAATTTATTTTGGATTATGAAGATTATTTCTTGAATAGGTTTAAAATTGGGAAAGCGGTATAAATTAATGTCTCTATAGGGGAAAATGAAATTTGAGTTATTAATAAGTAACTGATGAATACGTGTATTAATCTATATATTTCGTTGGCCACTTTTGAGTTACTAGTATGATCAATTCATCTGTTTAATCAATGTAAGGTTCATAAAGCTCATATTCAGCCAATATAACTGGTCTATTCTCTTCCTTTCTCAAAGCTTCAAACTCTTTACAAGCTTCACAGTCTTCTTGAGCATCAAGTTTTTTCTTATTATCTTTGATCAATGATTTGAATTCACATGAATGTAAATTTGTAAAATCTTCAAGCGCTTCGAAATAGTGAAACCTATTGTCAAGACCATCACAGACTGCTTTTTCAAACATGTATTCATTGATCTTTAGATGGTGGTATACATAATCGTGGAACGCTTTTTGAGTTTTTTTATCTAAACGATTAAATTTTTGCATCTTATAGTTTTCAAATGTCTTTTTGTGTGTTTTCTTTCTTTCCTCTTTTAATTTTAGAGCCTTTTCATGCTTCTTCCACCAAGATACATCCTTTCCTTCTCCATAAGACAGAAGAACAGTACCATGATTAGCAGGATTTGTATTATTAAGAAAGCATTCTTTCTTATATTCATGTTCTTTGAATAAATCTTGTTCATACACTGGAGACAGCTTATCATCCTTCTTGATAGTACCGATATAGTTTCTGATTAGACCTTCTATAGTCAATTTAGAGCCTTCATGATGAGATACTGAATCAATTTCCATTCGTTGATTTCTGCCAAAAGGCTTTTCATTAATCAAATAATGTGATGCATAAAACTTCAAATCAAATTTTAAGGCTTTCGAATTATCCCCATCATTAAAGACTATCAGACAAGCTTTGTAAAAATGTTCTTCAGTTTCATCCTTAAGTTTATGTGGCATTTGTAGACGTCCTTTACCATTATACATGGCACTTGACGCATGTGTATCACATGAGTATTTCAATATATCTTCAGTGTCCATAATTAGATGTATTTCCTCTTCAGTGTCAATATTTTTTTTGAATAACTCGGTGTACCTTCTGTTGTTATCAAAAGTCCTGGAAGTGAACATATTAAGATACGAATAGTCCTCTTTTTTTGTAACTCTACCAGTTTCATAAATGGAATAACCATCCGATTCTAACCCAGGAATAAAGCTAACAGCATAACATTGATAATTCAAAACATTTTTAGCTTTCGTTAATGCATCTTGTTGATATGCCAATGATGAAGAGTGGAATCTTTTGCCATAACAGTTTAAATATGCTAAGAATGGACCCGACTGGTGCTGAAATAAAGATGATGGTAAAAAATTATGACCTCTACTGAATCTGATTGGCTTGAACATGGTTGAACGAACGACACAAAGATCTTCAAGAACTGTTAAATTAATGGTTTGATGATTTGAGTTAGCAAAAACCATGGATTCTCAGCATATTTAAGTTGGATTATTCATTTGTTTGAAATGTGACAAGTCAAAAATGTAACATGTTGCAAAATCTGATTTTGCATGCCGCCAATTTAACCTGTTGGTATGTAAAAACTAGGATGAACTCATTGGACTTCTAATCTTCTAATATAGTGCTAAAAGTAAATGCACCATCTATCACCAAATCAGCAAACCTGGTACTTAATGTCTATTAAATTACTTTGATAATTAAGTTCTTCAACAACAATTGAAAGATCTGAGGCCGATATTATTTTCGCGCATTATGAGTACAATGATTAATGAGGTACAGTGTATACATCTCTGTAATATATTGTTCTAATGAACTAGCTATGTCATTATCAAGGTTGGAATATAGAAGGAGGAATTCATCTTTCAGATCTGTACAGCTAGTACCATTGCTTGATGATGTATAGCTAGCTCTGTTTAAGTAATAATGTGTTCTCATTAAGATTGATAAAACTAGTATATAATATACAGTGGTATGTATACCTTGGTTTCTTTGATTCAGTTATCTATACATTAACATTCTACCTATACAGCTAGTTTATTCAGATTAAAAATAGTCAATTTTTCATTCTATATATTTTTCTGGGTAATAGAGACGCAACACTATATCTCTTAATTCATCCTCTTTCAAAGCTCTAAAATCTTTACAGGCTTGACAATCTTTTGATGATTCATTATCAATGTTTTCATGATAAAACCCTTCATAAAAGGGAAAAGCGTGTTCACATGAATGTGTACTTGTAAAATCTTCAATATGTCCAAAATGGAGCGATTTTACTAATAAAGCATTTTCAATAGCTATTTCATGAATATATTCATTGATCTTTAAGTGGTTCGATACGTAATCGTGGAATGCTTTTTGAGTTCTTGCATCTAATCGATCAAATTTTTGCATCTTATAGTTTTGAAATGTTTTATTATGAGCTCTCTTTCTTTCCTCTTTTAATTTTAACGGTTTTTCATACTTTTTCCACCAAGCCAAATCCTTCCTAGATCCAACGTAGTCCCATAAATCAAAACCTTCAGAATTTCCATGAAAGCAATTACCAAAATCAGTTTTAAAGTCCTTCATGTGTTTGTGTAACGCAAACAATTTCTTTTCATTCATGGGAGACAATTTATCATCTTTTTTGACAGTACCAACATAATTTCTGATTAGTTCTTTTATACTCAATGAAGATCCTTCATGATGAGATATAGAATCAATTTCCATTCTTTGAAATCTGTAATGTGGTTTGTTGTTAAATAAATAATGTGATGCATAAAACTTCAAATCAAATTTTAGAGCCCTTGTTGGATCTTTGTCATTGAAAACAATCATACAAGCTTTATAAAAGTGATCCTTAGTTATGTCACCATATGGATCACCTTCTATTTCAACGCCTAAACCATTGAATCTCTCACGCTTCGCATGTAAATCAAAAGCATATTCAATAATATCTTCATTATCAAGAATTAAGTGAATTTTCTCTCCAGAGTCAGTACTTCTCAATACCTCAGAATATCTTTTGTCAAAATCTAGATCCTCCTTTAACCTAAAGTTGAGAATATCTTGATAATTTTTATTGTAAGAAACATTATTTAGATGAGTAGTACTCCAAAAGTCATCTACCTTATAAAGTACAGCAGCACTATAAGTATAGCATTGATAGTTCAATGCATTCTTAGCTTTTGTTAATGTATCTTGTTGATATCTCAATGATGATGAGTGCAACTTCTTGTTCAAAAGTTTGGATGCCAATAAAGCTGGTTGTTGTTGAAATAAAGATGATGATAAAACCTTATGACCTCTATTGAACCTAATATGTTTCAGCATTGTGAGCAGACACAACTAACGACGGATCTTCAAGAACTGTTCAATGAAACAAAATGATAATTAGAAGCAAAATTCAAGGATTTTCAACATAATTAAGTTATTTTTTGGTTCGAGTTTGTAATGTGACATGTCAAAATATTTCTAGCATCAATTTGTATCTTGAGACGTATCATATTTGAAAAAATGGGCATGGAAAATACCTCTTGAAGTCCATTGATTAACGTGTTTCCTGTGCTTTCATTTGTAACATTGCAACCGCCATCATAAAGCCTTACTCGATAAACAAGATGAACTAGTGAGTTATCCCAGCGCTAAAGATCAATTGGTCAATTTGATTAGTATAAACAAAATTGTTATGAGTTTGAATATTATTGATTATGTCATAGTTGACTAAGCTTTTCCATGGCCGTCGGATTTGTGTATTTAAATCCGGTAGAGGATTTAGTTTACGACGTTTACAAAATTGAAAAAGTACTTCAACTTAAATGACACATTTTTAATGAAAAGTTTTTCAGAATTAATCAAAAAGTTTAGAAGGATCATATAAAGCAATAATTCCTAGATTTGTGATCAGTGCTATTGGTTATCGAGTCATTTGATACAGTTACTAGAGCCATCCTGCTGCTTCAGTTTTTCCCATCTGCTATTTACTGCATTCCATACATATAGAATTATAAGATAAACATATAGAACAATAATGACAATTTCCAAGATCCCAGTTTGGTTAGATTGTGATCCAGGTCATGATGATATGATTGCCATTTTATTAACTGCATTCCATCCAAATTTTAATTTATTAGGTATATCAACAACATTTGGTAATTCATCTTTAACAAATACAACAAGAAATACATTATCAATTTTGACAATTTTCCAAAAATTAAACATCCCTGTGTTTAAAGGTTCTTCTAAACCTGTTATTAAAGAAGCTAAATATGCACCAAGTATTCATGGAGAATCTGGACTTGCTGGTACTGAATTACCTACCCCGGTGATTGATATTTCAAATCCAAATGATACTGATGATGAATTAACAACTTTCTACAATACATTGAAAAAAGAGATTGATCAACATATTGGTGAAATTTCCATTGTGGCAACTGGTCCATTAACAAACATTGGTAAATTTTTTCTAGAAAATCCAGAATATAAATCAAAAGTTAAATTTATTTCCATTATGGGTGGTGGTATTGAAATTTCAAATTGGGGTGCTGGTGAATTTAATACACTTTGTGATCCTCATGCAACTAATTATATTTTCCAAGATTCAATCTTATCTCCAAAGACTATATTATTACCAATTGATGTTACACATACTGCAATTTTAAATTCAAAAGTTGAAAAGCAATTACAGTCAACTTCATCTAATTTAAGAAAATTCTTATATGAATTAATGGAATTTTTCAAAGAAACTTATAAATCACAACAAGCATTCATCGAAGGACCACCAATTCATGATCCATTAGCTGCAATTGTTCTCTTGGAGGAATATGGATTTGTTGATTTAGGTATTGAAAGTATTAGATATAATTTAACCGCTGTGGAAAATGGTGAATTAGAAGGGAAATTAAATTATTTTAATGATTCAAATGGTGTTAAAGTTGTAACTAAATTGAATATTGATAAGTTTTGGGAAATTGTTTTGGAAACTGTTGATATTGCAGATCAATAGATTATTTATTTATATATGATATAATGATGATTATCGAGATCGATGATTAAACTAGTACTGATGATTGTTGTAGATTGTAGGTCTGATCATTGTATAAATTTACGATCGGATAAACCATCCATAGATTCTGGAAGAACTGATGTACTCTGAATCTTGATAGATTGATTTTGGATGTAATTAATCAAGTACCCACGAGTATACGCATATATTAACCCCTATTGATACAACCAAACCATCATGGTCAAACCTTGAGTTACAGCTGAATTAATTATTAGAGCGAATAATCAAACCTTGATGGTTGATTGAATTGGTGCATTAACACGTTTTATATATACCTAAGGTTAACTCAAGAGGATCAATACTTGTTGTAATATACATGAAGATATTATACAATATGATTTGATGAAATAGATAACATTAGCCAAGGAATAAACCATGCAGATCACCAAGTTTCCAGCCGACGTAAAATGGGTGTTTGATTTAATTCATTTGTTGCAGTACGAGACGTATGATGCATTGTTCAGTGTAATTGTCGATTATCTATTCAATCAATTGGATTGGCTTGAAGCTTCAGGCTCCAATTGAATTGGGATTTGGTGCATAAGATACTCGTGGGTTATGATTGATTGATACTATTGGATTATTCTAAGGCAAAATGTACCCATGAGTCAATGATATGGTGAATATATTTCATAGGACGGTACTTAAGCGTACTCGATTACGTTCTCTTTGTTAAAACGTTTTCTTCATCATCGGTGATCGGAATTATAGTTCTTAACGGATACAAGCAATTTGAACTCTTGGTTTCTGGGCTCAATTGATAAGATAATAACTGGAGAAAAAAGAGAATGAATGGGTTATTGAACGTATAATAGGTACAAGTAGATGATGGTATTCATCATAGTACTTCTTTCCTGTTAATCTAAGCTTCTCTTAATCAATCTTCACCGTTCCAGCTTTGTTTGTCTGTCTATACCAAGTTCCAACTCCACGTGCTGGTGTATATCTGCTTAAACAAATGCAACCATTTTATCAAATACAGGAATATCGTGCGTCCTAATCAAGTAATGGCTACTAAACTCAAAAGACTTTAAGCTTTCAACTTACGATTCAATAGGTAAATCAATTTTTACAATTCTCGAGGATGATACTCGGTCAATGGGTATAAAATATGGGTATAAATACTTGTCAAGTTCCTGATTATTGATAGATCTATATACATCTCTATACTCCATCAAACAACAACAGTATAATCCAAAGATGAAATTTTTATCTGCTTTAACAACAGCTTTATTATCAACAGCAGCTTTAGCTAAAAACATTGTCTTAACAAATGATGATGGTTGGGCTTCAACTGAAATCAGAGCAACTTATAGAGAATTAACAAATGCAGGTCATAATGTTTATTTAGTTGCTCCATTAGAACAAAGATCAGGTTTTGGTGGTACTTTTACATTTTCATATACTGATAAATTATTACATGATGATCAATTCCATTTCAAAAAAGAAGGTGATGCTGCTTGGGGTCATGAAGAAAATGATGATCATATTTGGTATTTCAATGCTACACCAGCTGCTTGTGTTGGGTTTGCTTTTGATTATTTATTACCAACTCATTTTGCTGATGTTAAAATTGATTTAGTTGTCTCTGGTGTTAACCAAGGTTTAAACTTGGATATTCCAATGTTCACCATTTCTGGTACTATTGGTGCTACTTATAATGCTGTTTATAGAGGTTATTCAGCTGTTGCATTCTCTGGTTCAACTTCAAATAATTCATTCTATCAAGATTCATTAAATGATGATTCAAATGCTCCTGCAAACATTTATGCTAAAAAAGTTGTTGAAATCACTTCAAAATTATTTGAATCTCAAGGTGATAATGAAAGAGTCTTACCATTAGGTACTGGTTTAAATGTTAACTTCCCAAAAGTTACTACTTTAGTTAAAGAAGGTTCAGAAGAATGTTCAGATCCACAATTTGTCTTTTCAAGATTAACTGGTGAGCATGTTGCTATTCCAGGTTTAAAATTAAATGAAACTTCAGGTGTTTTTGAATTTTCAAACTTGAAAAATGGTTCAATTGCTACTGGTGTTAAATATAATGGTATCTTTGATTTACCAAGTGAAAACTCAGTTACTGAAAATGGTTGTTGGACTTCAGTCTCTGCCTTCAGTGTTGATTATTCTGCTCCAGAACAAGAAGCCAATGAAGCTAAAGCTTTATTAGGTGATTTATTAGTTCAAAGATCATAGATCTGATATATACCCCTTCACTATATCCTTTCTTTTATTCTTTCTTTATACGTTGTTCATTGACATACTGGGTATGTCTTGAATAGTTGTTTTCTTTCCTTTATATATATATATAAACCTTTTCTAGTATATATCAAAAAATATAATTATAATTTAGACTTTATATCAAATTGTCATGTTTTTGCAGCTATTTGAATTTTGTGTCAAAATTTATCTTATACTGATTACTAAGCAGACACTACTTCGCTGATGTAATAAACTATGGCTTTAAATTTTCATCCGAAGCGATGAGTTTGAACTTTGTAATATATAAATCTTATAAATAAACCATCAAATATTCCAATTTTTTAGCTGTCCTTTTAACATAACAATACGATACAATACAATCACAATGGGAGAAGATCAACACCATGCAGATTATTCTAATTTCACTTCATCTTCCAAACAAGAAACTTTAGAAACAGTAACATTATCATATGAAGCTCTTTCACAAGATTTAACAAATTGGGTTGCAAATTTATCAAATGCATCATCATTAATATGGCATGCTTATCATTCACTTAAAATCCCAGTAAATTGGACTGGGTTTTATGTTGTTGATCCAGAAGATCCATCACAATTAATCTTGGGTCCATTCCAGGGGAAAGTTGCATGTCAAACTATTAAAATAGGTAAAGGAGTTTGTGGAATTGCTGCACAAACTGAAAAAACTCAAGTTGTACCAAATGTTGAAGAATTCCCAGGGCATATTGCTTGTGATGGTGAAACTAAAAGTGAAATTGTTGTCCCTATTGTAGGGAAAGATGGGAAATTAAGAGGTGTTATTGATATTGATGGTTTAGTTTTAGGTGCTTTTGATGAAGTTGATCAAAAAGAATTGGAAAAATTGGCACAATTGATTGCTGATGGGAATAAGTGGTATGAATACTGAATTATTTTATATCTTTGACCGAAAACCATCTCATGAATATAGATTACAAAACGAATGTATAATAATTTCAGTGATTTATCATTAACCGATGTAACTCAACTAATTTAATTATGTATATATATCTACATACATATCCAATGGAATTCGTAAGAGCTACATCTCTTGATATTAAATCAACTCCTATACTCATTTCTAACTTCTTCAACTATCTAAGTCAAAATGTTCACTAATATTAATATTACAAATTCTGATTATGTAAGTGCTGACATGCCATTCTTGACTATTTCCGGTTCTTTTTCTCCCAGTTCCGGCTCCTCATCTAAATTTTAATTAACCGCTGAATACAATAAACAATAAACAAAATGAGCAAAATATTCCAAATTAATTCGCCACTGATACACCAATGAGAAACTACTTTGTGTTGGGTGCTGCTGCTGCTCAGATTATCTCGTAATGTATTGGATGGGCTGGTGTATTATGGTCTTTTGAGAGACACGGGGATGCGTGGCTGAATTTTGTTTTTTCGTCATAGGGCTCATAAGGCTACAATATGAGAGAGTTTTACTAGTATGCTGATTTGGAAAAAGGGTTGAAGATTTCATGTCAAAACATACGAGTATTTGGTTGAAACGTGTGGTTGAATTGCGGTAATGGGTCCATTTGTATCTTGATTTGGTCCTGATTTGAGACCATTGGGTGTATCAATTGCATTGCTCTTTATGACATTTTTTGTGATTTTGTATGGATTTACAATGATTATTATGACATTTAAGGGTTCTTTTTAATTCTTTGTTCAACTATGGCATGTTTTAAGATCTGCTAGTTTTTTTTTCTTTTGCATGATGAAATGGACTTGGTGTATTTTTTAGTCTACGACACATATACGAGAAGTTTTTGTCATATGAAGAAAATTTAGATCTACATCCACATCTAATTAAAGAGAAGATTTTTACTAAACTGGGGTGGATCCATCATCAATTTCACCATTTCATTACGTTTATGGGTATATTCTTGATATTGATCATCATCTTGTTAAAGATATATTGGCTGATTTTGTTGGTCTTACTAAAGAGCTTGCATTGAAGTATCAATTTACATCTGATTAATTGCCATTTTCATTACAGTTTTTTGAGAATAGATTTCCTTTAATTGATATAAGATTGGATCATCATTAATATCATACCACAGCTTTTGATGAAAAGTTTTTAAATGATAATCATAGTAAAAATTTTATTCTCAAAGGTTAGAAAATTTTTCATTATTCATAAATATATATAAACTATCAAAACACATTTCAAAGACTTTGAATTTTTATAACTTTTGTTCTTTCTTTACCTTAGTCAATTATCAAGTGATTATTATTATTATAATATGACAGTCTCTGAGAATCCTGAAACCGTGGATAACTCCACTTTTAGCAAATTCTATTCCATTTATTCAAGGGATGATAGTTATAACCTTTTATGTTATGATAATAAGGCTGGTTTTGAAATTCACGCTGCTTGGCCTCAAGTTGTTGAAAAGATGAAGGCTATGAAGGAACAAAATGAAGCTGATATTAAACAATATGGTTTTACTCAAGATGAATTAGATTCATCTTCATTACCAATTACTCATGAAGGTTCTGTTAAAGTTTATGAATTTAAAAAATTTGATGAAACTTTTACTCGTGGTGTTATCTTGAAAGATTTTACTCCTTCTCAAACTGAATTAGCAACTATTGGTGGTCATCAATCAAAATTTCATGATTGGTTTGCAAAATTAATTGTTCAAGATTCAAGAGTTGAAGATAGTGTTAAACCAACAATTATGGATCCTGCTAAACAAATGGCTAATTTTGTTGCTGATTTTTTTGCTGAACATTTGAAAAACACTACAAATAATGATGAATGGAATAATGGTGGTCGTGAATATTTTGTTGATAAAGTTCATTATTTCACTTCAAGAGGTGCTAAAATTGAATGTGTTTTACCAGCTTTCCCATGTAAATCTTCAAATACTCAAAAAGTTGTTGGTGTTTTCCCTGATAAAGGTGAAGAATTAGCTTTGAGAAGATTAATTTTCACTGCTAGAGCTATTGAACAAGTTTATTCACCAGGTATGAAAATCTTTATTGTTTCTGATGGTCATGTTTTCAGTGATTGTATTGGTGTTGATGATGATGTTGTTGATGCTTATACTGAACGTTTAAAATATTTTTATAAACATGTTAAACTTAGTGAAAATGCTGATAAAGATTATATTGGTTTTGTTTCATTAAAAGATTTGTTTTTCAAAGAAGATGCTGAAGCTTTTAATGAAGAATTGATTAAAGATGTTCAATTACCTCATTACACTGGTTCCAAAATTTGTGAAGATGCTGAATTATCAAGAAGATTATTAATTGCAGGTTGTGATACTGATGCTGGTAAATTAAGAGAAGATGTTAATACTCCTGATCATCCAAGATTACATCTTTATAGAGGTTTTATGAGATTTATGTTGGAAGATTTAGCTTTACATCCAGTTTGTAAAAAAATGTCTAAAAGAAATTTTAAAAAAACTGTTAGTAGAGTTGCTTTTGAAATGATTAAAAGAAATGATGCTTATTCAAATTTAGTTGAATTATTATTCCCATTCCATTTACGTTTATCAATTCATGCTCATACTAATGCAGGTCCAAAATATGGTATTAGATTGATCAATACAAATGAATGTAAAATTATCAAAAGTTTAGATTCAAGTGATGAACCAAGTTTTGAAGATTTATTACATATTCCAACACCATGGCATAATAGTATTGTTAAAGTTGAAGGTCATCGTTATATATATTTAACTAAATCAAGAGTTGTTTTGGATGCAGTTAATCAAGGTATATATACAAGTGAATGGAATAAAGGTGATTTTGAAGCTGGTATTGGTGGTCATTTCTATTTGAAATGTGCTCAAAAAGCTAAAGAAGAATAAGCTTTTGTTGTTTTAATTCCATAACTAGAGTTGACCTTTAGTTTTGAATTATTCTTGATGAGAATAATTTGTTTTATTATATCTAGATAGAAAAAATTTTGAGATAATTTATATAAACTTTTTTATAACACAAAAAAACAAATAATAAACTTTTCTTTATATCTCATTAATACGTCTGCCTACTATAGATTGGTCATGTAGATTTAAATTGCAAATTCATTAAACTTTTATTTATTTATGTTTGTTTTTTTTTATTTGTTGATCTAGGGTTTGAATTGTAACACAAAAAATATATCTATAATACATTATATAATTAATTTCAAATTAAAAGGTTGAAAGAGGTGATCACACATTAAGCTATTTGGATATATGATATAAATTAGGATGTTTTTAATCTTATAAAGCACCTAAGAAATCTTCCTTTATACTTCCAATAGCATAAATAGCATTAACATCAGCTCTTGTCCCCACAATCTTAAGTCTAACTCTACTTCCCTTTTCTATAACTTGATCATCAGATTGATAAGCTGGAGGATTTGAACTTGGATTAAATGACATATCTGAAGGTATTAAATGAGTTGAAACAAATACAGATAAAGGACCAACATCAACAAAAAAACCTAATTTACTAACTTGTGAACAAACACCATCAACAACTTCACCTTTAAATGGTTTCCAAACAACAGCTCTATATTTAACTTCAAATTCTGCTGAACCATCACTTGGAATAATTTTACCTTTACCAATATCAATACTCATACAATCTAAAACACACATTATATAACCAAATTTACCTGTACATGAACCTTCAACTTCATTTAATAGTTTCGTCCTTAAGAATTGATTCATTTGTGGACCGAAATATGAAGGATGTAAATTTAATACTAATGATAAATCTTTCTATTAAGAACTGATGTTAGTATAATATTATATATCAATATTCATAGAAAAACATACTAAAAAAAACATGGTTTATATGGGTATGTATGATTTATATGATTCTAGAGGTATAGTTTGATGAGGAATGTATATCCTTGATAGGTTTTAGAATTGAATTGTTGTTGTTTTATAAATTGAAACTTTTTCCAAATTATATTGATTAAATGATTAGATGATATTAATGAATGTAAAATCTATTGTTTTTTGATCAAATTTCCCAGGTTTTCAGGTATGAGTAAAGTCCTTTCTTGTTATTCCCCCTATTACAACACAGAATCCCTTTGATTAGGTTAAAGATGTATTGATTTTGCTCTTTCCTGGTTTTAAAATGTCACTTTCCGTTGTTTTTGTTGACATTCAAATTTCGTGATAAATTGAAAAGTTCAACATCCGAACACCAAACTTTAATTTTCGCGGGTCTTCGCGAATTTCCTGAAAAAGTTCTTTCACGAATTTTTTGTTGAACATTTTAATGATTTGAATACAAAATTGCATTGAATTTACAAGGTTTTTAGTTGAAATCCAGTGGGAAATGTCACAAAAAATCGGAAGAGTATGTTTGCATTGGATAGAGCGTGTTGAATAATGTTACTAATCTGGAAATTTCTAGACTTCATTGGCCTTCACAAAGCTATGGCATCATGTTGATGTTGCAAAAGACAACAGATCATTAGGTCGTTTAGCATCACAAATCGCAATTACTTTAATGGGTAAACATAAACCTATTTATGATCCTTCTTATGATGTTGGTGATTATGTCGTTGTTACAAATTGTAAAGATTTGAAAATCACAGGTAATAAATTAAAAGATAAATTATATTGGAGACATAGTGGTAAAATTGGTCAATTAAAATTAACTCCAATGGATAAAGTGATACATGATAAAGGTTATGGTGAAGTTTTAAGAAAAGCTGTTAGTGGTATGTTACCAAAGACTAAACTACGTAAGGCAAGATTAGAAAGATTAAAAGTGTTTGATGGTTCTGAACACCCTTATAAACAAAATATTTTCGCTGTTCATGATCAACAACCTGAAGCTAGAAAGAAATTATTAGAATTAGAACAAGATTGAAAACCAAGAGGCAACATATGAATTAATTGTACATTATATATAAGTGCTTAACTTTGTAAATAGAAACCAAATTGCACATTATACCATTTTTTGATCATACAAATATTTCTCTTGTAGACGTAAACTTCTATTTAACCCATTTTATATTAATTTTTTTTTATTTACTTATACAATAATATACATGATTTTTTCATAAGTTTTTTAGTTTTCATTTTAAATAATAATTATATTCATAATTTGATTTGATATTTAAAAAATCTACTTTTTTTTTCATATTTTCTTCTTTTTATTTGATATTCTCAAAAATCAACTGAACGATCAGTATATAAACGTGGAGCAATATTCATAGCCATTAATTCTTGGAATAATAATTTAGCAGCATAAGGAATATGAATTTGATAAATATCAATCTTATTCTTACAACCACGACATTCAAATTGATTATGTTTTAATTTAGCAATAACAGACATTAACCCACAAACACCACAAACATGAACTCTAAAAGCATCTGAAGCTTCCATCAATCTTTCCTTCATAAAAGCTGCTGCACCATGTGCAATCATACAATCACGTTCCATTTCACCAAAACGTAACCCACCATCTCTTGAACGACCTTCAACTGGTTGTCTTGTTAAAATTTGAACTGGACCTCTTGCTCTTGCATGAATTTTATCATCAACCATATGTCTTAATCTTTGATAATAAGTTGGACCAAAGAAAATTTGGGCCATTAATTTTTTACCTGTATGACCATTATACATAACTTCAAAACCTCTTGATTGATAACCATGTTCTCTTAATAATTTAGAAATTGCATCAACTGTAACATCTGTAAATGGTGAAGCATCACCTTCTAACCCTGAAAGTGCAGAAACTTTTGATAATAAACATTCAATTAAATGTGCAACAGTCATACGTGATGGAATAGCATGAGGATTAATAATTAAATCTGGGACAATACCTTCTCTTGTGAAAGGCATATCTTCACGACGATATGTAATACCAATAGTACCTTTTTGACCATGACGTGAGGCAAATTTATCACCAATTTGTGGAACTTTTGTAGTTCTCATACGAACTTTAACGAATTTTAAACCTTCTTGATTTGTTGTTATTAAAACTTGATCAACAATACCATTTTCTGTTGATCTTAATGGAGTTGAAGCATCACGTTTACTATGATACACAGTTCTTTGACCTAATTCTTCAGAATCTGCTTGAATTGGTGTAGTTTTACCAATAATAATATCTTCACCTGAAACTCTAACACCTGGTGCAATTAATCCATCATCATCTAATTTTTCATATGTACCGTGTTTTAATCTTAAAGTATTACTACGATTTGGTTTTTCAAATTGTTCCACCACGGTCATACCAACTCTTTTTTCTTGATCCATATAAGATCTGAAAAATAAAGATCTAAATAATCCTCGATCTATACTTGATTGATTCATAATCATAGAATCTTCTTGATTATAACCTGAATAACATGCAATAGCCACTATAGCATTTTGTCCAGCTGGTAATTCTCTAAATTTCAAATGTTCCATAGCTCTTGTTGTAGCAAGAGGTTTTTGTGGATAATACAAGATATTTGCCATAGTATCCATACGAACACTATAATTTGTTAAGAAAACACCCATAGCTTGTTTACCCATAGCTGATTGATAAGTATTACGAGGAGATTGATTATGATCTGGGAATGGAATAATTGAAGCTGCAACACCTAAAATCATTGAAGGATGAATTTCACAATGTGTAAAAGTTTGAGCATGTTTATTTGTACCTGGTTTTAATCTTTTATTTGGATCTGGATCATCATAATTTTGTGTACCATATTTTTCTGGGTTTAAATCTTCTGGTGACATTGCAATCATTATAGTTTCTTCTTCTTCAGCATCAACATATTCCACAATACCATTTGTAACTAATGAATTCCAAACAAATGGTTCTTCTTCCATTTCTTCATAATCACCATATTCTGTATCAACAATTTTTTGAACATGTTCTCTTTTCAAAGCTAATTCTTTAGCACCAGTTTCTTCATTATCTTCAACAACAAATAATGGTCTATAAACTCTACCAGCATCTGTGAAAACTTTAAATTCTTTTTCACGAATATCTCTAATAATAGAAACTTCTGGAGAAATTTCACCTCTTCTTCTTAAATTTCTCATTGTAGAAATTAATTTAGCAGGATCTCTATGAATACCATGCCAAACACCATTAACGAAAATTCTTGTAGCATCTGGAGCTTGGTGAGGTAAATAATCTTCTAAAGGTTCCATACCCCATTCTTCCAAGAAATAAATAATTGGATCAGAACCTGAACCAACAGAAATACAAGACATTAATGATAAATTTTTAACTAAACCACAAGCTTGACCTTCTGGAGTTTCAGCAGGACAAACAAGACCCCAATGGGTATTATGTAATTGACGAGGTTTTGCTAATTTACCATCACGACCAATTGGAGTATTAGTTCTTCTTAAATGTGATAAAGTTGATGAATAAGTATAACGATTCAAGACTTGTGAAACACCAGCTCTTGAACTCATTGCCTTTTTTTGTTCACCCCAATTACCAGTAGCTAAAGAATATTTTAAACCTGAAGTGATTGTAGTTGCCTTGACAGCTAATTTTAAATTAAAATCAGTATCAGTTTCGACTGATCTTTGCATATAACGATAAATATCTCTTGTTAATTTTTTAAATAAAATTCTGAAAAGATTAGCTAATAAAGGACCTGCCAAATCTAATCTTTTTTTACCAAAATGATCACGATCATCTTGAGGTTTTCTTTCTAATGCACATAATAATAATCTATTAACCATATAACCCAAGAAAAATGCCTTTCTTGATTCAAAACCTTCTTGTTGAGTAATATGAGGTAAAAATTCCTTTTGTAAAATATCTTTAGCATATTGAATACGTTTTTCTCTTCTAATCCCCAAGGCATTACCACGACGACCAATAAAATCTAATGCAACTTCACGATCTTGAATAACAAAACCTTCTTCAACACAAGGTTTTAACATTTCAAACATTTGCCAATCATTTTGATCATAACAAATATGTTCCAAGATATCACCATCTGGTACAATACCTAAAGCTCTAAATACAATAACAATTGGAATATCTTGTTTGATATAAGGTAATGTAGCTTTAATAGTTCTACCTGAACCTTTATCATCACGACCATATAATTTAATTTGCATAGAACTAATTAATCTTGAACCTTTTTCCAAAGCAGAACGAATTTCAGCAACATGAGACACAGGTGATGGAGCAGATTTTTTGAAAACTTGAACAATATTTGCAGCAGAACGTTCTTGAGCAATCAAGACTTTTTCAGAACCATTAATAACAAAATAACCACCCATATCATAAGGACATTCTTTTAATGAATACATTTCTTCTTCTTCCAAGTCTCTTAATAAACAATATTTAGATTTTAACATAATTGGAACACGACCAATATAAACTTTTTTATTATCATTCCCATCATCATCTAATTCATCTTCAACTTCATCTTTTATCACGGTCCAATCATTAGTCCCATCTATAGTTTCATAAGTGATTTTATCCATTTCCACAAATAATGGAGCTGCATAAGTTAAATTACGTAGTCTAGCTTCTTGAGGGAACATTTGTTGAGTTGTACCATCAGATTCAGTCATTGTTGGTCTTGAAAGGAAAATTTTACCAAATTTAATTTCATATTTTCTATTTATATTATCATCTTCTGTAATATGTTGAGCTGGTTGCTCAAGGATCAAAGTTGAATCTTCCCATACTAATTCCTGGATAGAAGTATTTATAAATTCATCAAATGAATCCAATTGTTGAGAAACTAACCCTTTTTCTCTGAAAAAAGAGGAAATCACTGTCCAACAATCTTCTGAAGTGATATCCTCTGTTTCCAATGCATATGGATCAACATCGTACTCTTTTGAAACAATTGTTAGTATATTGCACTCCGACTTGATTGATATCAATTTTGCCTTCAACTCACCGTCAGACATGCTTAATTAGCTCAAATCAGCACCAAAAACCAAGCGGAAAAAACGCCACGCAATAAAGCACACACAAACAAACAACAATCCGTAAGAAAACAACCAAGTTCTCCCACTAATTAATCCCTTTTGAAGTAATTTAATGATTCTGTTTTGTTAAGATCTTCTTTTTAATAATCAAAACAATTTCAATTTTCAACGCCAAAAAATCCAAAAATTCGCGAAAGATCCCAAAATTTACCCGGCTTTGATCTTTTTTGGAAAAATCAGAAAAAGTTCCAAAATTCAACCAGTATTAAATGAAGGCCATCATCAAGGTCAAACAGATCACAGGGCAAAGATGCTACGTATAACTCAAAAACTAGGGTTCAAAGCCCCAGTGATAGGAATCAGAACACTTGCAACTCATTCTACAGAACAACCATTACCTAAAACCCCATCAAAAGTTCAATTAGATTCAAGAAAATTATCAAATCCAAAAAAACTTTATGAATTAATTCAATCATCTATTGCTAAAGGTGAACCACATTTTAAAATTGGTGGAAAACAATTATATTTCCCAACTGCTCGTGTTGTACTATTAAGACCAAATGCTAAACATACCCCATACCAAGCGAAATTCATTGTCCCCAAATCATTTAATAGAATGGATTTAAGAGATTATTTATATAATTTATATGGCCTTAGAGTTTTCAAAATAACAACACAAATTATTCCAGGGAAATTTGTTCGTGAAGGTGTTGTTGCCCGTTATAGAACTGGTTCTATTAAAAAAATGACTGTTGATTTATTGGAACCTTTTGTTTGGCCTGAAGAACCAAAAGATAAAGATGAAGAATATAATGTTGGATTTATGAATGAATTAGATAAATATGTGGAAAATACAAGAAGATTAGGTTCGGATAAATTAAAAGCTGGTACTGCATTTGGTGGTGCTTTAGGTCCATATCCAAAAAAACCTGAACCTTTTGTACCAAAATTTTTAAAGAAAAAATTATTGAATGAAAAAAATGAAACAAAATCTATAAATGATAAAAAAGAAAATGAAAAATTGATTTCCAAGTACTTGAATTTATGAATAATCTTTGGATCCCACTTGTATATATATATAAATAATTACTATTACAAAGTTTTATATTGTACTAAAATAACCTATATTTCCCTAAAAAAAAAACCAAACCAAAATAACTATATAACCCAAAACCTTACCATATACCATATACTAGATAACCATATATAACCATATAACCATACCACATATACCATTTATTCATGTTTCTTTGATTCATCAATTGGTGTATATCCATTATTCCACCATGAAAACCAACCATTATTAACCTTTGTTTGTTTTAATTCATTTCCAAGATCTTTAGTTGAATCAGTATTCAATTTAGTAGTTTCATCAATATTTTCATATTCATCTTTACCAACAAAATCATAATCATCATTTGAAGTATTTGCAGTTGTAGTGGTGGTGTTTAAAGATCTTGATTCATTTGTTGTCCCTGTTGAACCTGTTGGAGTTGTTGATCTTGTTGATCTTGTTGAACCTGTTGGTTTAGGGAAATATTGTAAAACACCAACTAAACTTTCAAATATATTATTTTGTTGTTGAGTTTGTTTAGGATTTGATTGTTTTGAAATGATTGAATTTGCAAATGAATCAAAAATTGATTGATTTACACCATTTGATGTATAACTAGATGATGTATTATTTGACGATTGATCAGATGATATGATTTTCAAAGTTTTCAATAAGTTTAAGACAAATTCTAATGGATTTTTGGCATATAATTTATTAACAAAAGAATCAATTTCAATTTCATAACGACCCAAGTATTCATCAATATAATTAAAATAAATAAATTCATAACCTTTTGTATTTGGTAAAATTAACCAAATTGATAAATAAAGTTTAATAATTGAATAAAATGGCAGATATTTTAAGATTAAATTATAAAATTGAAACTCCAAGATAGTTAAAGAACCAAAGACAATCCAATAAATTAACCATGATTTAATTAAATTGATATCATTAGTTTTCAATGATTTAAAAGTGGAAATCAATGGGAAGGCAAATGAAATAGTTAAACTAGAATGTTAGTACATCATCAACAAGATCAAAACCAAATTAACTCACCTTGTTAAATTGAAAATAATTGAAAACATTATTAAAATTATAAATTGCCTTCTTATATTATCCTTATACTATCAAAATACTATCAAAAATTGAGATTTCAAGTCAGACACAAATAGCACAATCGAAACAACAGCACAGTCTGAACACAACACTAGCAATATGTAACCTTAGAATATAGCAGTAAATAACCAGTGATTTAATTCAATCAATTGATAAAACGAAATTCAATTTTTAGTTTTGTTTAAATTTCAACTTTTTTTGCCTTTGTACATTAAATTCATTTGTGGTTTTTCTGAAATTAAAAAGATAAGCGGGTAAAAAAAGTTATGTAAGGGATTAGTAATCAGTATAATCTGGGGTAAAATATTCATCTACAATTATTTATATCTATTTACAATTATATAGAGTTGGATTACATTTATTCATATTATTCAAAGTTTTAGCTATCTTCTCCAGTTTTCAGGGTGTCTTTATGTCAAATATTCCCTGATTTGCACCAATTCCATACCATTCTTCATTATAATATTTCAAAGATTTTATATAAAGTCTTGATAAATCCCTTGTGATCCCAGCATTAATCATTATTTCAATTCCCTTTTGCAAGTATTTTTGTGCACTTTTCCTTATCACCAAATCATCATTTTGAATCTGTGATAAACAATTCAAATTGGCAATGTATAAGCTATAAATCAACTTGTATAAATAGAAAGAATCTGAAAGTTTATACTCCAAGGATAGTTTTATAATGGTTGTTGCTTGATCAAGACATGTCAATGAGTCATTTAAATTATTAGGACCTAGTTTATGACTTTTATGAATCAATAGAATCAAAATTAATCTTGATATTTCTAAAAACCATGAAGGTATTGATTTATTATTCTTCCATCTTGTACATGATTTCATATTCTTTTTCCACTCATGACATTTAAGCATTGATGAAGAAACAACCAATCCTTGATTATCTAGTCTTCCTCCATAACATTTGGAAATAATCTCACATTCAATCTTGGAAAAATTCAACATTTCTTTGAAAACATTAATCTCATTAAATCCATCATATGTTTCCAATTCATCAGCTCTTTCTTCAGCACCAACATTTGAGCATAATCCAGGAAACCCCAATATAGTTGAATTTATACAATCACTTAAAAAGCAACATTTAAATACATTCTTCCTCAATTCAACTTCTCTATTTGACAGGATACCTCTTTCCACAAGATCAAAATGATTAGAATTTAATCCCATATGATAACATAATGGAATGGCTCTACCTAAATATTGTGAACCACTTGTTTCATCACCACAATTCATACATATAATACTTAAGATTAATAAAGTTTGAACACTTGCCACTCTAATTTTGGATTTATTGTTTAATTCTAATTCTAATTGCTTTTTGCAAAGTTCTTTATATTTCAAAAAATCATTAGGTTGACCTTGGAATAGGTAATAAAGACTCATAATAGAATTGATTAACGATACTGAAACATATTGACCTAATTCAGTACCTTCATGAATAACATCTTCCAAAGAAGCAAAGAATAAACCTTCATCAACCAATGGGAATGTGTTTTGTAATGTGGAGAAAAACCATGTAAATATTTCTTTATGATTTTCATCAACTATATCTTTAATTTTTTGATATATCTCTGATTTAGGATTTAATTGATTAATCAATCCATGGTTTAATATAATTGATCCATTATTTGAATGTCTTAAACTTGATTGTCCATTTATTGAAAGATGTTTCCTTCCTTCATTTATCCAAATATTAAAATTAAACCTTGGTTTATGTATTGTTGTCTGATCATAATTAATTGAATGAGCTTCTAAAGTTGGATCAATATTGGTTTCCAATATCCCATGACCTTGTGTATAAACTCCCAATGCTGTTTCCAAGGCCTCTATTCTCTTGTGTAATGCTTTTGTATATTCACTAGTTGCAGGTTTCCTACCATCAATTGGATCATAAATACATTTTTTACCCTTTTTATTACAAAGTGAACATGATGGTATCAATTTATCACATTTTCTTTTGGATCTTCGACAATTTAAACAAGCAGTTTCCATTTTGAACTAACTTTACCTCATCATACTGTATAGTTCATGTATATGTTAACTTTTTCAAATGTTATTAATTCAATATATTCAACTTGAGTATATAACATCGGTGAATGAATCTCCTATGAATCCAACTTCCATATATCCAATAAAATCACCCTTTTGAAAAGCCCAAGCACTAATCCCAACAACTTCAAACAACTTAATTAAGAAAGTTCTATGACCTTTATCAGTAAATGACCTTCTTATTAAGACTTGAAAGTTGATTAATTGAGAAACTAAAACCGTTGTTCCTTGAAGCCTTTTTAGTGTATTACGATTACATAAACTTTTTTTTTTGATTAGCTCCCAGAATCATGCGTTTATGTGCATAATTAAATCAAAATTGAAATTTAATTAGTTCAGCCTTTCACTTTTATGATTATCAATATTTATAGTGTGCGTACGATAACACGAGAGCATGATTATCTTTACCTGATTGTACGTTTTTGTTATTGGCTGGTAATCAGGAGGCCATGTGTCTTTCTTGTAATCAGATGCTGACTCCTGAGTCAGTACTTTTGATATGAACCTTGTTAAATTTAAACCTACGTTATCAATTCAGATATTAACTCATTGATTATATTTTATTATTCTATATGTATATACTCTTGGCTTTTGGCTTAAACATCTCCAATTTTTTTATCTAAAATTGATTCATGAATTTGTTTGACATCATGTTGAGAATCTGATGAATCATTTAATTCAATACCTTCAATATCCTTATCATCTCCTATAACTGAATCTTCATCATAATCACCAAATAATGCACCAATCTCTTCTAATGTTAAATTCTTAGTCTCTGGGAAATACCAAAAAACAATTACTGAATTAACAGCAGTTAAACAAATAAATATAACATAAAATTTCCATTTAATATTCTCTAATGCAGTAGTAACTGGTGTAATATATGCAAGCATACTTATAAACATTCCTAAAAATGATAAACTACTACCAATCCCTCTTAAATGAGTTGGCCAAATCTCTGTAGCATAAACATAAGTTGTTGCATCAAGGAAAGTTCCATAGAAAGTCAATCTGAAATATAATAAAAACACAGCACTTCTATTACCAGCCATATTTTTAGATTCTGAAAATAAAGCTAAAACAATAGCAAGTCCAATTAAGCAAACACAACAACCTGTTAATCCAATAAACATCATTTTTTTACGACCTAATTTATCCATGATTAAACTTGCAATGAAATTATATAACACTGCAGTGGAAATATAACATGCACTTAACATGATTTGTTTTGATGGTGAAAATCCCAAGTTTCTATATAATGTTGGACCATAATTTGTAACTGTTAAATCACCTGTTGATTGAGCACTAAACATGATAAGAAATCCAACTATTAATCTTTTTCTATTTGGTTTATGAGTTATTAACGATTTCCAAGTTGATAATTGAGATTCTTTAGCAAATTGATCTAAAATAATTTGAAATGATTCATCTGTAGTATTAGGATCAATAATTTCTAAAACTTTTCTTGTTTCTGCCAATTTATTATTTTCTAATAACCATCTTGGAGATTCTGGTAATTTCCAAATAATAATTGATAAACATAAAGGCCAAATGATTTGGAAACTTAAGGGAATTCTCCAATTGTACCCCTTTTCAAGCCAATAAAAACCATAAACAGACCACATACTTAATGAATACCCAGTTAAAATCATAACACCATGTAATCCAACCAAAAAACCTCTCCCTTGAGCAGGTGCAATTTCAGTTTGCCAAATAGGTGTAAGCATAACACACATCCCAATTGAAATCCCAGCAATAAATCTACTTATATAAAGCATAACCAAATTAACAGCACCAGTCATTAACGCACCACCAATGATCCCCAACAGACCACCAAGGAATATAGCTTTTTTCCTACCACATTTACCAGAAACAATACCACCAAGAATACAACCTATAATACCACCACCAGCATAAAGACCATTAAAAGCATCTGCTATACCAGGATTATCCAAGTATCCAAAATATTCAATAAATGAAGGTAACCCAGGAATGGATCCTCCTAACCCAGAGGTGAAACCATAAGTTAAACTACCAAATGATGCAGCGATTGCTAATTTTGTTGTATGAGCTGAGAATTTCATTATATATGTCCTTCTATGGCTTTAGTATAGTATATTCTAATATTCTCATGTTGATGATTGGAATTTTGGAATTATACTTGAGGTTTTATACATAAAGACATATTTTGATAATAGATAACGAATCTTTCTCATTTCATCAACAGGTCTTCAATCACATCGATAACCAACACTCATGATAATCTAAGATAACCGTGTATTACAATGCAAACAATTTAACAATCTAAATCAACAGATTGGATAAAGATTTAAAAAGTTTGAATTTTCGCGTATAGACCTCATACCATACCAAAAGCGGTTTCCATTCACCGATTTCAGAAGATCAACAAATTCCAAAATATCAAAGCGCAAATTGGATACCGCTTTCCAAGTTTATCAAATGACAATTGGCATTAATGGTCAATGAGTAGTTACTAGCGGGGTGTAATCCCCATCTTGTTTATGGATCTTATTATTTGATGGGGTTTTGAAGATTAGATAAGGATGGATGTGTGATTAAATGATTAATACTCATTGGATTTAGATCGTGATGAGTCCATGTGTATATAATCCTGTTAATTTCCTTGAGTTTATGAATATGATTTGATTAGGAAGGTCAGATATCACAAATATCAAAAGTTTTATTCATTATTCATTATTCATTACTCAAAAACATGGGTCCATTCGTTAAAGTTGCTGTTGTTCAATCTGAACCAGTTTGGTGGGATTTAAAAGGTACTGTTGCCAAAGTTAACAAGTTAATTAAAGAAGCTTATGAATCAGGTGCTGAATTGATTGCATTCCCTGAAGTTTTTGTTCCAGGTTATCCAGTTTGGATCTGGTCTAATCCTGCCGATTATTTGAAAAATGCAAATTATATTGATAATTCATTATCTTATGATTCACCAGAATTTCAATCAATTATTGATACTATTAAATCAAATCCAATTCATGTTGTCTTGGGTCTTTCTGAAAGGGATCATAGTTCAATTTATATTTCTCAATGTATTATTGATAATCATGGTGATGTGGTTTTGAAAAGACGTAAAATGAAACCAACTCATGCAGAACGTGTCTTGTATGGTGATGGTAGATCAAGTGATTTGAAATCAGTTGTTACCTTGGACTTCAAAGAAGCTGGTCCTGTGGAAGTTGGTTGTTTATCATGTTGGGAACATCAACAACCATTATTAAGATATAATAGTGCCACACAACATGAAAAAATTCATATTGGATCATGGCCAACAGTTAATGAAAAATATTGTGGTGAAAATAGATGGTGTTTTAGTAAAGAAGGTTTTTATTCATTGGCTAGATCATATTGTCAACAAATGCAAACTTTTTATTTATTTTCTTCACAATTAACTAGTGAAAAATTACAAGAATCTATTCCAGATATTGATATGATTGATATTCATGGTACTGGTAGTCCAGCATCTGCTGTTTTCCATCCAGATGGGTATTTAGCTTCAGATACAAGTTTCAAAGAAGATGGATTAATCATTCATGATTTAGATATGCACAAAATTTTGATTCAAAAACATTTCATTGATATTGTTGGACATTATTCAAGACCTGATATGATGTCTTTAGCTCATAATTATGCTAATGAAGATGTTAAAAACTACATCACAGGCCCAACAAACTAAGCAAACCAAACACACTTGATATTTGAATATATGATAAGTACTTAACTAACTCACTAGTAGTCTTTTATTCTCACAACATCTCAGTATATATCTCACCAATTTCCCTTTTGAGAGTTCTCGGTTATCTGTTTAAGCACTTCGCGCATAATCATACGAGACAACAATAGAAAGGGATCCCTTCTAAAACTTGAACTTCACCAGAACTCATTTCTACCCAGCACAGCGCTAATCACCAAAAATGACACCCAGAAGAGGTCCTAAGCACAAGTTCAAGCCCAAAGAGCAGCTAAAGAAACCAGCCAAATCATCACCAGTTTCCATGGAACAGTTTACCAAAGCGCTTAATGTTTCCACCCTTGAATACGAAATAGAAGACCTTTTTGAAGCTTCAGATATCAAAATCAGTGAATCTCAAAACCTTTTGGATCATACTTTCCTCAAGAAAAATGTCATTTCACCCTTGTTGAATATTCCAATGAGAGATGGTCGGTTTAAGAATAATGATTTCTATGTTCAAAATCATGATTTCCTTCATCTTTTCGTTAAACAATGTGTGATTTCAATACTTTCAGTTAAAGGTTGTCCTAGATCCCAGGTTGAAATTGATGAGTTGTTAGATTTGGAAAATAATCAAGTTAGAGCCATTGTTGACTACTTGTTGACAAAATTAAACATGTTTTTCTTTGTTAAGGCTAATGAGAATGGTACAAAACTGATCTTGTTGAATAATTCCCAATCAGTTATAATGATGTTATTACAGAAATATATATTGGATATATCAAGACATGTATTCAGTGTCATTGATAATATCACTCATAAGACATTATTAAATCATGATCCAAAATATCAACATTTAAATTTTAATTGGAAATTAGTTGAGACCTTAACGATTGATTATGCATTAGAGAATCCATTTCTTAATGGGAATGAATGGATTATTAAAAAATCAAATGATATAACAAATTATGTATCAATTCAAAAAACTAAATATCCTTATATAACAATTGAACAATCAAAAGGTCCAAGAAATGAATTGAAAACTGAAAACTTGTTTGAAAATTCTGAACTAAATAATTTATCAATTTTACATAAGGATATAACTTCAATCTTGACTAAATTCTCTAGTCCGCTTTTTGAAAGGTATAATCCTACAGGAGATCAATTAGTTATAGAAAATATAAATGCTCATGATATAAAATTCATTATGGAGATGACTAAATTACATTATGATGAGGAATTATTTTTCAGAATCTTACCGAAAAGAAGTGATGAAGATGAAGATGATGATTTGTATTTTGAAACAACAGATGAAGATATATTAATGTGAAGAAGAAGAAGAAGAATGACAAATAACGTTGCTAATGATAAGAATAATGAGATATGAAAGTTTATAAAAACTATTGCTATATAAGTAGATCGGCCTTTGAATACAAGAGAAAAACAAAATAAATTACTAATATTAAAACTGATACATGATGTGTAATCAGTAGTTATTTCAGTACTTCCACACCCCTTATCGATACAATCCAAGCCCTAAAGGCTGTATCTCATTGGAGTGTTTTTGTCAATATGTCTCTCCTCTAATCAAAGCTTATCATAAAAATGCGGTATCTTTTTACCGCTTCTTAATACTGTGATCAGCACACCAGCCCAATTTATAAAAACTCCAATTCTGCACTTGAATACGTAGATTAAGAAGACACAAGAAGCCCAAACACATTATACAAGATAAACAAAAATCACGATGGTCATTATTGGTTATTTGTCAAATGATTTGTTGAGTTCAAGGGAATTGAGCTTACATGATCAAGTTCAGGTCATAATCAATGGGATAGCAAAGGTGGTAAAGGCTGATAACACTGAGATGATTATCATCCCAGAACTACATACAAGTGATGAAGATATCAATTATATTGAAGAAACTCTCAAATCCACTGCTAAAGAGTCAAATGTTAACCTTATAGCTCAACTTTCAACAAATTCAACCACAATCAGATATTTATTTTCTCAAAATGGTACAATTACACTTAAAACCACATCACAAGATGGATTAATAACCACAACCCCAAACGGGAAAACTGTCACTACATTCAAATTCAATGAAGGTTCATTAGAAGTCGGTACTTTGTTCAATCAACAACATCTAAACCCTTTAGAATTTCAAAACTCCGCTATACAACATGAAAAAATTCATATAGTTTATGAAGATGAATTATCTAAATCCCCAAATTTCCATTCCATATTCCAAAGTTTTGCACAACAAACTCAATGTTTCATCATTTATTATACTTCAAAAGGAATTGAATTATATAACCCAGATGGATTTTCTAAACAATTTAATGGGACATTTGAACTAGATATGAAGAAGATTTTAGTTCAGAAGAGTTTTATTGATATCGTGGGACATTATTCAAGGTCTGATATGATGTCTTTGGCTATCAGGGCTGAGAATTAATCTTTATCAATGTATAAGCTGGATATATAACTGAATAAATGAATGATTACTTTCATGTTGATTAGTATGTAGCTAATATAAAAACATTTAGGGGATTACGTAGTAGAATATTGTCATGATCTAATATACCATAAAGGACAAAGGCCTAAGTTGTCAATTTGAGGTATTAACACATTGTTTATTTTATTGTTCTATATGTATACACACTTGGCTCTTGGCTTAAACATCTCCAATCTTTTTATCTAAAATTGATTCATGGATTTTTTTAACTTCATGTTGAGAATCTGAAGAATCATTTAATTCAATACCTTCAATTTCCTTATCATCTCCTATAACTGAATCTTCATCATAATCACCAAATAATGCACCAATTTCTTCTAATGTTAAATTCTTAGTCTCTGGGAAATACCAAAAAACAATTACTGAATTAACAGCAGTTAAACAAATGAATATAACATAAAATTTCCACTTAATATTTTCTAATGCAGTAGTAACTGGTGTAATATATGCAAGCATACTTATAAACATTCCTAAAAATGATAAACTACTACCAATCCCTCTTAAATGAGTTGGCCAAATCTCTGTAGCATAAACATAAGTTGTTGCATCAAGGAAAGTTGCATAGAAAGTCAATCTAAAATATAATAAAAACACAGCACTTCTATTACCATCCATATTTTTAGACTCTGAAAATAAAGCTAAAACAATAGCAAGACCAATCAAACAAACACAACAACCTGTTAATCCAATAAACATCATTTTTTTACGACCTAATTTATCCATGATTAAACTTGCAATGAAATTATATAACACTGCAGTGGAACAATAACATGCACTTAACATGATTTGTTTTGATGGTGAAAACCCTAAGTTTCTATATAATGTTGGACCATAATTTGCAATTGTTAAATCACCTGTTGATTGAGCACTAAACATGATAAGAAATCCAACAATTAATCTTTTCCTGTTTGGTTTATGAGTTATTAACGATTTCCAAGTTGATAATTGAGATTCTTTAGCAAATTGATCTAAAATAATTTGAAATGATTCATCTGTAGTACTAGGATCAATAATTTCTAAAACTTTTCTTGTTTCTGAGATTTTATTATTTTCTAATAACCATCTTGGGGATTCTGGTAATTTCCAAATAATAATTGATAAACATAAAGGCCAAATAAGTTGGAAACTTAATGGGATTCTCCAATTAAATCCCCTTTCAAGCCAATAAAAACCATAAACAGACCACATACTTAATGCATACCCAGTTAAAATCATAACACCATGCAATCCAACCAAAAACCCACGACCTTGAGCAGGTGCAATTTCAGTTTGCCAAATAGGTGTAAGCATAACACACATCCCAATTGAAATCCCAGCAATAAATCTACTTATATAAAGCATAACCAAATTAACAGCACCAGTCATTAATGCTCCACCAATGATCCCCAATAAACCACCAAGGAATATAGCTTTTTTCCTACCAAATTTACCAGAAACAATACCACCAAGAATACAACCTATAATACCACCACCGGCATAAAGACCATTAAAAGCATCTGCTATACTAGGATTATCCAAGTATCCAAAATATTCAATAAATGAAGGTAATCCAGGAATGGAACCACCTAATCCAGAGGTGAACCCATAAGTTAGACTACCAAAAGATGCAGCGATTGCTAATTTTGTTGTATGAGCTGAGAATTTCATTATATCTGGACTTCTATGGCTTTAGTATGGTATTTTAATACCAATTTCTCATGTTGATGATTGGAATATTGGAATTATACATGAGGTTTTATACATGATTTAACAAACATCTTTGATAATAGATAACGAATCTTTCTCATTTCATCAACAAATCTTCAATCATTTAGATAAACAAGTATTATGATATTACTAATAATCTAAGATAACCATTTACTACAATTCAAACACTTTGAGAATCTAAATCAGATTTTAGAAAGTTCAAATTTTCGCGTATAAACCTCATACCAAAGAAGTGGTTTCATACCCAACCTTCTTCCCATATTTCAGGCAACATTCAAATTGGATACAGGTCTCCAAGTCTATTGCAAATCACCATGGTTATACGTTCGAATACGATCACATTTTGGCATATCATGATCGCTCTTTTTTCCAAAAATCGCTCAACATTATTGCGAAATTGTCAAAGCCCGAACTTCAATATCATGAATCATGGCTAGCGCAGTGGTATAGGATTCCCATTGGGTCTTGATAGCTTGATATCTTGATATCTTGATAGCTTGCTATCTTGAGAGCATGCTATCTTGATATCCCAGGCGTTCAACCGAAAGATAAGGATTAGAGTGTGCTTTATTGATAATGATATTACTAATTGATTTAAGACCTTCAGTGGGATAATCAATAGTACTAATTGATTTAAGACTTTCAGTGGGTAATGGACCATGTGTATATAATCCTGTTAATTTCCTTGAGTTTATGAATATGATTTGATTAGGAAGGTCAGATATCACAAATATCAAAAGTTTTATTCATTATTCATTATTCATTACTCAAAAACATGGGCCCATTCGTTAAAGTTGCTGTTGTTCAATCTGAACCTGTTTGGTGGGATTTAAAAGGTACTGTTGCCAAAGTTAACAAGTTAATCAAAGAAGCTTATGAATCAGGTGCTGAATTGATTGCATTTCCTGAAGTTTTCGTTCCAGGTTATCCAGTTTGGATCTGGTCTAAACCTGCAGATTCTTTAAAAAATGCAAATTATATTGATAATTCATTGTCTTATGATTCACCAGAATTTCAATCAATCATTGATACTATCAAATCCAATCCAATTCATGTTGTCTTAGGTCTTTCTGAAAGAGATCATGATTCAATTTATATTTCTCAATGTATCATTGATAAACATGGACAAGTTGTTTTGAAAAGACGTAAAATAAAACCAACTCATGTTGAACGTATCTTATACGGTGATGGTAGATCAAGTGATTTGAAATCAGTTGCAACCTTGGATTTCAAAGAAGCTGGTCCTGTGGAAGTTGGCTGTTTATCATGCTGGGAACATCAACAACCATTATTAAGTTATAATAGTGCTGCACAACATGAAAAAATTCATATTGGATCATGGCCAGCAGTTAATGATAAATGTGACGGTGAAAATCCATGGTGTTTTACTAAGGAAGGGTTTTATGCACTTTCTAGAGCATATAGTCAACAAACGCAATCATTTTATTTGTTCTCTTCACAATTAACTAGTGAAAAATTACAAGAATCTATTCCAGATATTGATATAGTTGGTATGACTGGTAGGGGTACTCCAGCATCTGCCGTGTTCCAGCCAGATGGGTATTTAGCTTCAGATACAAGTTTCAAAGGTGATGGATTAATCATTCATGACTTGGATATGCACAAGATTTTGATTCAAAAACATTTCATTGATATTGTTGGACATTATTCAAGACCTGATATGATGTCTTTAGCTCATCATCATGTTAATGAAGATGTCAAGAATTACATCACAGGTCCAACAAATTAAGCTCAGGGCTGAGCAGTATGCTTCATGGATGTATAATCTAGACATATAACTGAATAAATGAATGGATACTTTCATGTTGGTTAACAGGTAGTTTATATAAAAGATATAGGGGATTAAGTAGTAGATTATTGTTATGATATTCAGGATATATAAATACTTCTATCATCTTAGCTCAAAATTATAGTATATATCTCATATAACTTGACTTTTAAGTTCGTAAGAACAGATTCAACCAATTATATACGCTATACTAGTATTCATCATATTAATTATAATGTTAATTCCCGATTAACGCCGAATTACTCCTTTTTGAAGATTTTAGTATAAAGAAACATAAATCTCGATTATAAAAGTATTTAAGAATATATTTAGAGACTATTAACTACTTATTATTATAAGAAAGTTTAATAATTCGGCAATTTTGTTAATTTTTAAAATTTAAAAAAATTAAAATTATTAAAATGAAAACGGTAATAATTTTATTTTAAGCTCAAAAATGGATTAGGTGAAAATTTTCAAATTTTTTTTTTCATGAATTTCAACAAAATAAACAGATCATTATAAACAGACTCAGTTCAATATATCAGTAATGACTTAATTCATCAAAGAATCACTAATTTGTATCTTAAATCAACATTTTTAAGTTATGCCATATTAATTTGACCGGCGCCCGGGGATATTAACATGGTTGGCGCAAAAATCCGGAGTTACTGATGAATATAAGTTATAACTCACAAAATTACTCACCAAATTTTGAGCACTTAAACATAGGTAAATTTCTCTATCTCTTTAAATCACGCACTCCAGACAGTGAATTCACTGAAAAATTATCTATATAAAGGATGTGAATTCTCTTAAATGAAAGTTTTAATTCTCCTTGGAACTATATCATTCAAACTATAATTCACAAATATCAATTACAAAAACTTACAAATCAAGATGAGTTCAAGCGATTTTAGAACCCCCGAAATAGAAAAAATACTCAACAAAGCACTTGCAGACTCTATCACAACGGAAGCTATGAAATTTTCTTTACGTGATTATGGTTTATTACCTGGAAATTCTGAAATGATTACTAAATTGATCCGTCATGATATTTGTTTTAATTTTATTAATCTTTGTATGTCAAATCAGTTAGCTTTTTTCAGTCCTTTACAGAAACAATATTTAAGTGAAGAGCTCCAAAGCATTTTACCTTATCAAATCAATGAATTATGGAGTGAGCATGTGACTACAGCATTGGTAATTCAAAAAAGTTATAAAGAACCAAGAGGTGTTTATCATGATTTAGACAATACTGGATTTTCAGAAATTCAAATCTCAGAAATACAAAGTTTCAATCAAAAGTTTATGGATAAATATTTTCATAATTATATCTCAAGCTTGGAAGATATTCATAGATCAAGAAACCCGTTAAATGCATTCTTAGATGGAAATTACAATTCTATGAAAACTAGATATGAAATACTTTATGAAGACATGGTATCATATATCGATGAGTTAATAAGTACTGCTCAATCTTCAAAAAATGCGAATGAAGAAGAAGTTAAACAAGAAATTTTAGAAATTTTAATAAAGAACATCAATGTATATGAACCTGTTGATTCTATGAAAACATGGTTTAGAGATTACATTAAAGATGGTTTTATTCCACTTTTAAAAAATTGTGGTAAAGATTTATACTTCCGTGAAAATACTAAGAGTTTTATGAGATGTGAATCAGTAAGTGATAGACGTCATCTTAACGGCTCATCAATTATTGATGTTTCAAAGATTATTAATTCAGATTGTTTTGAAAATATAGTTGAAATTGGTGATCAAGATGATGGTAAATTATTAATCCAATTTGATGATTCACCTCAGTTAGAAATTGAATTTGAAACAGAATTTACAAATTGTAAACCATTACAAAACTTAGTTACATGTCTTATTTCAAGAAATACAAGAGTTGGAATTTTAACAAATATGCATTTTTCAGTTTTAATTACATTATTTCCTAAAGGTTATGATGCAATGTCAAATGAAATCCCAGCCAGACGCAGATCATTACCAGAGATTAGATATAGACAGGTTAATCATACTGATACTGGATTGACTATGAACTGGTTAATGTTTTATGCAATCGGGTTAGTTATGGATGAAAATGATGATCATACTGGAGATGATGATGATTCACAAATCTTTAAAGCTAGATTTAGACCTCATGAATTTGATGAACCTGTCTCAGGTATTGATTACCAATTATCAAGTATGAAACTTTGAATATGTATAGAGAATAGAAAACAATATAAGTATACTATGAAACTATTTTTTTGTAAAGAGCTTGGCTATACAAGGCGTAAATGTCCGATATAAAAAAAATCGCGTATTTTTCAGTATAAAATTTTGATTTTGGGTTGGAACTTGGATAGTTGATGAATAATTCTGAATTTTTAAATGAAACGAAATACTTGAATTATTATAAATGAGATCAAAGGAAATTTAACAATAAAATTCTGTCAAATAATTTCAATGATCAGTATAGTTACTGTTGCTCCAAAAACAGGATCAAGCTTGGAAAATCCAGAAATATCTCATATAAAGGCCTCAAACCTCAAACTTTTAAATTCTCAAAATTATTAGCTCACATAACTCCTCAAAAGTTTTAAAATGCTGAGAGTAACTTAACTTATATTTATAATTCCCAATATAAAGTATGGATATTTTTAAAAGCAAATTCTTTAAGTTCATATAATAGCTTTAAAGTACCATACAGTTCAGACATATAGCTATACCATTCCACATCAAATTATTCAACAAAGCTTTGTATATTTCAAAATGACAACAGATATAAAAGCCCCGTTAAAAGATGCTAATTTAGAACGTGAAAATTTGGTTAATGATATCGAACGTCTTGAAAATGAATATTTCAATTTAAATCAAGTGGAGATTAGAGATAATAAAACTAATCTAAATAAAAGAATTTGGCTTGAAACTGTGAGACCAGCTTTACTAAAATATTGGAAGTTCAAAACATCACTCTTCCCATTGATTTATTATTCTAAACAACGTTTGAAATTTTTAAATGAAGCAAAAGAAACTACCAAAGAAGAAACATTCTTAGGCCCTTTTCCCATAGAAATTTGGAAAATAATTATGCAAAAGGGTTGTGCTAGAATGGAAGTTCCTTCAATTAACAAATGTTTTCACAAAGAGTTGGCACCATATGCTTATTGTGGTGTTGGATACGAAAACTTGCAATTATTATTAGTGGTAAGTTCTACTCATAAAATGAGACAAAATGATGCCTGTTTCTTAAGAGAAGGTCCAGATTTTCCTGATAAGCCATGTGATTCTTATTCAATTTATGAAAGAAATTTGGAAAGTTTTAATTTTGAATATGAATTTTTAGATGTTGATTATGATGTTCCAAAAAGTATTCGTGATGAAATCGCTGGTGCCAAAGCTGACAAGAAAACATTAGTTATCACAGATTATGAAGAAATCAAACACCTAGTTTATCATGTACTCAATAATCCTGATTCAATGAAACACTGGAAATCTATTAATATTGACATCTCAATATTACATGGGTATAAAGAATTGATCTATGATTCTGAGATTTACACTGTGTTGGAATATTACGGAAGATCATTGGGAAATGGTAGCCTATCTTCAAAAACACAAGTCAAAGCAGATGATTTCTTTTATGGACCAGATTCACACCAACTTTTCCACAATAGAGAAGGTAGATGGGGAGCTCCTAAATTAGGACTTTCTAAAAATTTTGATGCTCATAGTTTTAGCAAAATACCTTACAATACAGCAAATGAAATTTTCCCTAACAAAGTTTATTTCAATGAATTGATACATCTTTCTGAACTTTTCAAATCTTATGAATCTGGTCAAAGAAGTGAATTATTAAAGATATCTACAGATCGTGAACTTCGTATGAATCATCCATACAAGAAATATGTATTATCACTTGATCAAATCACACAATCTCCAGAATTTAATGGACCACAGTTTAAAATTGATGGTGCAATTGCTTCACATAACATCAAGATCCGAAATAGAAGATTTGCCTCTGAAAATGAAGTCACATCACTTATCAAATTGATGGTTGGATTATTATCATCTAATAAACTTTTCAAAGATACTGATACTTCCTTATTTATTAGTGGAATGACAGATTTTCAAGAGACAAAGGATATTCTTAAAAGTCAAACAGGAAAATACAGGCCTGTTACAAACATGTACAAGTATAAACCTCATTTAACTTTGTTGAATAAACCAAAATCTGTCTAAATTATGCGTCAATTGATTATACAAATGTATTGGACAAGTTTAATTCAATTTAAGCTAGTATACTTTTAGAATTGCAACTGGCTCATATATAATAGATACAAGATGTCATCTAGAGATTACTAGTGTAGCTAGCTTGTCACTGTTGAAATTTATCTTCAATTGAACTTTAAATCGATGGTACATGATTGCGGAGGTCTAATCCCTACATCTGCCATAAATTTCTTCCGTGGAAAATAAGTAAATTCACTGGTCAATGCTATACGCTTCAAATCACAAATGGCGTACTTTGAAGTATATAATCCCTGATTACCAATGAGTTTTAGTAGATTTTAAGTGGACAACTCGAAACTTTGTGAGTTTATAGGTGATGGGTTTTTAGTCCGCATTGATAACAGACTCAGTCGCATTGTGTAAGCAAAGGAAATCCAACTCCAACGCTCCAACAATGAAATCATCTCGATCCAAGTGAAGATGTACAATTCATGAGAGCACAATGGCTAATCTAGTGAGAAAGAACCAACAGCGAGGAATAGTGAGATGAGTATCAACTAGATTTGAGTATAAAAGACTGGTCAATTCCTCTCTCAATTGATCCGTTTCAACTTCATGCCATTCATCATCATCATCTATACAATAGATTAGTTGATACAAATATAAGTCAGTTCAAAATGCCACTAGCTCTCGTCCCAAAAATTGAAGGTTACGATATTTTACTACCAAGACGTTCAGCTAACTCATTCTTAGGTGAAACCCTTGCTTCAAACGCTACAGACGACCAAAGAATCAAAGCTGGTTTCTTCAAAGTTATCCCAGGTGAGCCATTAGTTCATACTTACGATGCTGATGAGTTCAAAATAATTACTGAAGTTCACAATGGTACTTTCCACTTATCTGATGAAACTGGACAAGCTATTGAAGCTCAAGTTGGTGATGTTATCTTATTAGACAAGGGTGCTACTATTACTTTTGAAGTTAAAGGTGGTGAAGATGCTTACGCTCACGCTTTCTGGGTTATCCGAAAGGCTTAAGTTATTAGAACTAATTAGCTGTCTGTTGATAATACACTATAAATTTTCAAATAAAAGTCATTCAAGTCTCAGTTTGGTTAATATTGTAGAAATTCTTTCTAAACATTAGACAACTTTAAATTTAAACGCTCATGCCCCTCACGAAACAATCATTTGGAAAATATGACGACATCAAACAGAACCCCCGGAGTATAAAAAACGGTCCTGTATATCAGATCTAACTTTCAGTAGAGCTATTCGCATCATTTGTAGTATCACAATTTATGTCCTTCTAAGTTCTCTAGTGTATGATACGACTCTATAGATAAGGCGCAAATATCCGATATAAAAAATTCGCGTATTTTTCAGAATAAAATTAAAATTTAATACCCATCATTAAACAGAATCAAGTCAGAATCTCAAAATCACGCAGACCACACCATGAGATATGACTGATATGAATAATGTCACGTCAAGTATAGAGGCAAATATTCATACACTTGAAGATGAGGAAGTTCTTCAATATTTAATCACACACTCCAAAACTTCAAAAACTATGGAATTAAGCCTTGGATTATCATCAATTCAATCAGAAATTATATCAAATTTATTATCCTCAAACTTGGATTTTTGTATTGAGAACAATTTGAATCTGATTAAACTTTGTATGTCAAATGGATCAATGTATTATAGCCCACAGATAGCTAAACAACATATATGTCCCAGCCTTAAGTCTGTTTTATCAAATAAAGTTATTCAATCATGGGATAAGTATATTGATGATGAGATTCTCAAAGCTAAAAACCAGTATCAAAGAGGTGGTATACAAGGATTAGATATTGAATATAATGAGATTGAAACTTTGGAAATCCAGAAGTTTAATCAAAGTTTGGTTGATAAATTACGTTATGGGAATTTAAAAAGTATAGAAAAAAGTGAATTATTGTACATGATCTTTATTTTTTTCAATCATGATTATAATCTTTTGAATCATAATTATGAAAAACAACAAAGTTTATTAATCCCTCAAATTCAGTCTATTCAAAACCAAGATGATCAAATCTTAAAATTATTACAAAGATCCATACCCATTTTTGAAAATTTGAATGAAATGAAAACTTGGTTCAATAGATATATCAAAGCTTTCCAAATAATATTCCAAGGATTTGGATCGCCCATAACAACATCTACCAATCCCTTAGAAACTCACACAACTTCAACCAAACCGAACCTTTCTCAGACCATAACTCCCCAAAATTTCATAAACATCATACAATTACACATCAAAACCCAAACCATATTAATCCAATTTGATAACTCCCCAGATCTAGATTATGATTTCCTAACCAATCCAAATGATTTAAAACCATTACAAAACCTGATATCATGTTTAATTTCCCAAAATACAAGGATTGGCGTTTTAACTAATTTAAACCATCTAATCTTGATTTTTTTGTTTCCTAAAGGTATTGGATATGATAATAACCAGGGATCAGATCCTGAGATACGGTATAAAGTTGTTAATTTTTATGATGAGGGGCTGACAATGAATTGGTTGGTTTTTTATATCTTGGGGATATTGGATGATGTTGATTTTAGATTTAGGGAAGATGAATTGGATGAAGTTGTGTTAAGTTTTGAAGATGAGATTTCAAAATTGATGCTTTAGATATAGGAACATAAAAAACATGTATTTATTATTTAATTGAGGTATATATAATTATATCTATATATAGAATAAAAGTTTATTTATCTAAATGCTTCTTCTTCAATCATATATTTATCTAAATCATCCAATACCTGAACAGTTTCTTCAGGATTTGCAATCCATACAGTACATCCAGCCAATCTTGCTTTAAAATCATTAGAACCAACACTTGAAAATTGATCACCAATATGTAGGGTTTGATTAGGTTTAATATTACCAAAATATCTTTGTAAAGATTCAACACCTAAATCTTTTGAAGCAATATCAACCCAAACATCAGCACCACCATCAAAAGCACAGAATTTAATACGTTGAGCAGATTGAGAAATTTCTAATCTTTTTTGAGTTGAAAGGACAACTTCTTCTAATTGTTCTCTAGATAATTTTATACCTTCATTAGGGACAAGTCCAACACCTCTATGTTTTCTAATAACGTATGCAGGTAAGTTGAGTGATTTTTGTAATCCTTTTAATGTAGATTGTGCCAAATCTAAAGTGTTTAAGATATCTGTTTCATCCCAACTTGCCATTGTTTCTAATAACCATTCCTTGGGGTCAACCCAAAGTAAACCTTGCTTGTTATCATCATAACGGAATAAATAATTTGATTCACCACCCATAACTGTAAAATTTTCTTTTTGAGTCTTTGTCAAGTTTGTATCATTAACAATGGCATCAATAAGACCTTTTAATCTTGCATAATATTTATCACCACTTGGTTCATTATAACCAGCTGCTGTAACAACACCAACAATAATATCTTTTGATAATAAATTAATTAACCTTGGAACAACTTTTGCATCTTGTGCAAGAGATTTCCCATCTTCATATAATGTAACATCCCCATCAAAAGTCACAAGTTTCAATGGTGTAGAGCTTTGTGCTAAGGCTAAAGCTTGGGCAGTGTTTAAAATTAATCTAATATCATTAAAACTTGGTGCAACAAGACGACGAACACTAATTGATCTACGTTCATCTTCGATATAAAAAGCTTTTTCCAAGGGTAATTTAGTAAAGAATCCAGAAATTGATGGGACTAACTGTTGTAATCTACCTAATTGTGGTGTACCATTTCTATCCATTAATACTAGGCTATTGTTAGTATATTATTATAGCTCAGGATTGACTTTATACTCACTTTGATCTTGAATCAGTTTTTCCACATCGAAAAAAATCTCAGCATAACGTCTTCTAGCATCTGATGTAGTTTTAATATCACCAATTGTATTTGAACCTGATTGAACTGCATGTAAAACAAAAGGAACCTATTAATGGATTAGTACAAACTCCACAAAAACCAACACAGAAACCCCAAAGCTAATAACTAAGGGGTCTTGGGGTTATACATACTGCTAATAAACCTTTAATCCATTCAATGAATCCATCTCTACGATGGACTTTTAATGAGTCTATAATATTCAATTATTAGGATACTTTGATCTGGGGTGATACCGTGGTACCACATGTGGGTCACACATACATTCAACTCTATATCTGTATCAAAAGGTTAGTACTGAAATCCTAAGTAACTTGACACTTGGTAAACATACCTTGAAGACATTCTATAATTCTATATTTAATATTTAAATTATTGGATTCAATAGCAAAATCACACTTATTTATATACAAATCAAGATTTCAATTTTCTCGAGATTGTAATATTTATGGGTCAACAAAAGCAAAAATCTGTACCGCGGAATTAAATCGGATGTGGGTTTTTGGATTACGTAATACGATAAAAATGTTGAAAATTGAAATATAAAAAGGATTTGAAATCCCACATTTTTTCTTGAATTTTCTAAAATTTGTTTGCACTAGTGAATGATTGCGTTGCCTCTTATGAGTACATAGAAAATTACTTGTTTTAATATTGCTGAAAGTTGTTTGTTATTCTTGGAAGAATGGTAATAGTTTCATCATGAATTACTGCTGATTTATTGACCAAATAAAATTTCTTCAATATATTTGCATGAGCTGTTACATCTTCATGAATTTATTATATATCAATTGGTCATGATTTCATGGGGTGTTTATAAGATATAACAATTGTTATTCCAAGTTTTATATACAGGTCTACATAAATCCCCATTGAAGTAATACATAACACATTGTTTCAATACTTTAAATTTTGATTCATGAATAACCTTTCAAGGGTTTTGTCTATGATCAATTTGGATAAGATTCAATGAATTTTCTTGGATATTTTAAAATATTAATTGTAGTTGATACGATAAAACATATTATAATTAAGTAAACTACAAACAAAAAGATGAACTTGATAATTATTATAAATTTATATCTATTGTGTTACATAATCTCAATTCAATTTGTACGCCAGTTTATAAAAATTTGAATTTTGAAAAAAACAGACTGACTTTTCCATCATCTCATGATCTGACCACCAAGCAACAATAATATCATTAGTCTGAAAGATTTGGTTTTTTATACATCTTTTATACGTTTTCTCTGCATGCCAAAAATTCTCTCAAATTGAGTTTGTTGAGTGACGTTCTCTTATACAAGATATACATATTACATGTTTTGATATTTTGGCCTTTTGGTTATCACAGAGTAATAAAATTGAAAATCCAATAAAGATACCAACATGTGACTTTGGATCAACCGTTTCAATATTTGGGTTAATTAGGATTTCATAAGCATTGTTACTTAATGTTGATCAATCAAAAGACGATACACTATATGTCAACATATATAATATAAATTATACAGTTATATTGATTCTTATCTTTGATTCATTTGAACCATATTCTTTGATAGGGATATCTATATAATGATCAGATTTGAATTTAATGAACTATTCTTTGTTTTCTGAAATCATTGTTTAATTGTAGTATAGTTATTAGTATATACCTGGTTATGTAATATAAAGATCTCAATTAGTTTTCTTAAAAAAAGTCAAGATAAGGATCGAGAAACACCCAGTTACCTTTTGATAACAGAACTATGTTTTCATTTACAGGAAATTAATTTTGTCGTTACATCTAGTTTATTTGGTGGTGGAGTAAAAGGCATTCTCTTAAATATTGGTTATTTGAGAGGTTATCACAATGCGTTGGGCTGAAATAGAAATCTTTGGTTTTTCCTTATGGAAATGTGATAATTATTGCAAAGGGAGATTTGGTTATCTACTCCACTGAAACAAACCAATTCCTAGCAATGACTTATCCCAGACGTATCAATATGGGTAATCTTATACACAAAATGGATATCATATGGTACAATATACAATGTTTCAATTTGAAGTTTTAGATTCTTTGATGAAATCCTTAGGGATAGAGTTATTGATCAACTTCAATGAGATTCATTTTCATTATTTTTTAATTAAGAAATTGTAGTCCAGATACCAACCATCAACCATAGTCTAGAAGTAATAAAAGGATAATGGTAACGATATAAAATTGAATAATTTGTATGATTCATTCCCTATTCATTCTTCATTACACTTATTAATATATTACATAACCAAGAATTATGTAGGCGCGCGCACGCAAATTTGTACTCAAAATAAACAATCGACATTTCATTAAGATAAGGGTTAAAACTTAAGGGTATATTATAAAGTATTTGTTCTTCTTATCTTTTGCAAATATGTTGATCCTTTTCTTGAAATATTATTTATTATCATCCATGAAGAACATCTCTGACGTACTGCAGTACAATATGTACCTTTAAAGTATTTGAATCTTTCATCACTCATAATCATGATCATGTCGCAGTGAAATAATTATTAAAGATATAAATATATCATTGATTATCAAGGTTAAAGTTACATTATAGGGCTAATTACCAACTTACAATTTAATCATTTGAATATCATCTTTAATAAATGAACACCCCACTATAATTGATTCTTATCTTTGATTCATTTGAATTACTTGTGACACAAGACAACCATATAATGATCAGATTTGAATATAATAGTGTGATGACTTTTCCAATTCTAAATGGTTTCAAAATATCTGTAGGCTTTCGAATGCTTCGATCATATATATGAATTGTTTAATTAAACTCAAGTACATTTATCTAAATTAATATCTAAAATGGTAGCTAAGGTAAAGTTCTCGCTATAGCCTATAGCTGATTGAATAGCTTGTCATCTTGTCGAATTATGTAATTGGTTATTATGTAATACAACGCAAGAATTGATTTAATTTTCATGTAATTTTTTCGTTCAGTGCATGAGCTTTAATACAAACTTGCCATCTTTCTTGGTTTATGTTTTGATTGATTTTTATTGATATCAATGGTGACCTATTCCATTTTTTTGGCAAATATTGTGAAAGTCATTGATGTTTGATTGGAATACATTTATATGAGCTTCTTTAGCTATGATCCTATACGCCTCATTCTTTGGTCGCATGTTATAAAATTTGTCTGTGAAGAATCCTTTTCCGTTCTTTGTGTTACCTCTGAGGATATTAAAATCATTATTTGACATAGATGAAAACCTTTCAATTTTAACTTTTGATGTTGATTATAGTAATTTATTTTTATAGAATGTAATATTTATCAATCAATACAATATACAGTGTTTCAATACTTTTAGTTTAGATTCATTGATGATATACCCTGCTGAGGTTATTGAGTTAATGATCAACTTTAATGAGATTCATTTGATTCATTTTTGTTCAAACTAATTCCAAAGGAAATACGTAGTTATCCTAATCTAAAGTCCCTATACGTTATATTGTATATACTCTAAAAGAAATACTTGAATAATCGAAAGGAAGTACTTCATACCTATAAATACCAACGTTTATGAGTAACATATTGTGAATTTCGATTATGTAATACGACGATGAAAATTTTATAAAAAGCTTTGTGAATGCACATTACAGAGTACTAAGTACTAAGTTCTAACATCGAGCACTAGAAGCAATTTAAAAACCAGCTCTGCCGTTTAGCAATGCATTTTCTGCTGGTAGTGGTACACTATTGTACTTCATAAACTGTTGGGAATTACATGAAGTTATTTTATTCAAACAATTAAGCTAATTAGTTCCATAGCTTGTTTGAGTTTTTAATTCTGAAAGGGCCGTATTTGGTTACAATTAGTGAACCCAGTTTCGTTGCATCATATTATTAAGTTCGAAATTTCATTTTGAAAATTCTTGGTATAACAGTGAAATTAAATTGATTTTTAATTACTAGAATAAGGGTGTTTATGATATATCAATTACTAGAGCTCCAACTAGTGTTATGTGTTAAATGGCTTTCATAGGTATATATACACCCCATTCAAGTACAGATATACACATTTGTTTCAATACTTCAGGTTTCGATTCATGAATAACCCAAATTTGCTTATAAGGGTTTTGTTTATGATCAATTTGAATGAGATTCAATGATTTTTTTGGATATAAAGACATTATATTGTAGTGGATGTGATCATGCCATAATTAGTACAAATTAATAAGGAATTCATCTTGTAATTAAATAATTAACATGAGGATCACATAAAGATTCATATATCATAGTGCACACAAAAGATTCTGGTTAGTGTTGTCGACGACGTCTATATAGCTATATATACTAATAACTAATAGCCTATTATATTACATAATCTCGATTATATAAAACATTTTTCGCGCAATTTATGAATTTTTTTTATTAACAGGTGAATTAAATGATCCCTTTTATTTTTACACTTGTATAGCTGCTGCTTAATTACAGCTTTACAATTGACGTTAATACATCTCTGCTGGTATTATAATCTGCAGATTATTGTGCATCTCGTGTATTTCTATTTGTTGACTCTCACCATATTATAATTTATTGCAGCTTATTGATATCATAAAGGTTTAAATATAGCGTGGAGTTGAAACAAGCTGAAACATGATTCCACTATATAACTTATGTTAACTGCATTATAATATAAATATAGAGTTCTATTGATTCTTATCTTTGATTCATTTGAAACATCTTCTTTGATTGGGATATCTATATAATGATCAGATTTGAATTCAATTAACTATTCTTTGTTTTAAAATATCATTGTTATCTGTAGTACTTAAAGTTGTATGTACCTGTTGATTATGTAATACTCATAAACGAAGGTGTT